GAATATGACAATCCATTTTCTAAACTATTTTCACATTTTGCAGGTTATAATTATTCTAGTAAATTGCTGTTTTTACATCATATTCTGTGTAATCTATAATTAAATTTAATATCCTAAGATGATTGGTGTCTAGTTTGTGTATCTCCTGGATTCTTGTATCTGTACCATGTAAAGGACAAAGTGACTATTTTAAAAAAATGTGCCTCCTTGGATCTTACACTGAATTATTAGTATATCTCATTAGCATTAAAATTTGACATTAAATGAAGAAAAAAATAGTACAGATTTTATAACAATTTAGTAATTTAGTTTACATGGTGGGCTCTGCTTTTTATTATATTAGAGATGTATTTTTTAAAAGAGAACTATACTATGAAGCAGCCCTATCTTCTTGCATCCCTGGGGTTTTTTTGGCCTGGCTCCCTTTTTACTTTACACCAATTTTATGCCAGGCAACTTCATGAATGTCCAGGCCACTGCTCCCAGTAAGTACTGGAGAAGGAAGGAAATTGGGCTGTCTCTTAATGCCAATAAACCTATGCTGCCTCCACGTACAACTGTTTTGGAAGCAATTCCAGGTATACAACTTCTCAGATGCATTTCTGTGTCTTATTTAACATATGGAAGCAAATGCATTTTACTTGAAATGTGTCTCAAACAATGAGGCTCAATCCTTCAAGATTACAGTCAATGAACTCCCAATGAAATGAATCCTTGAATTCCTCAGGGGAACTCAAGCAACTAAATACCATTTCAGGGATGGCCTAATGGCCCTGGGCTCTCTCCAGGCTGAGCTTCAGAAAGTTAAGGGGTAGGTGGTGCTGAATGGGGTCTTGCTGGGAATAAAAACCTCACAAAAAACCAAAATAAGGTTAAACCAGTTCATTCTCACTGTTTTACTCCCACTCCACAGTGATTTAACGTCTTACCTGCTTGTCTCCTCTTTTCTCTATGCAATGTGAAATACAATTGTGTACATGAAGTGAAGGAAAAGTGAATCTGCCTATCAGTACAATAAATGGTTGATATTGTTCATATTGTCCACTTGAAACCCTGAATTTTGCCTTATTTTAACATTTTGAAAGTGTAAAGAAAAAAGCCCCAGACGTTGAGTGTAAAAATATGTTTGCTACATCATTAGAGTGAGAGATAAAGCTTTTAAAGTATTGTGACAGAGTCACCACAGAAACTGAAATCTGTCTTCCTGAACATAAGTAAAGGTAACTGTCACAGATCCATTCTGAAGTCACCCTTGTGCTACTGCTGCTGCCCTCCTGGCTCTGCTGCAGAACACAACACAGAAAGCAGGTCTCAGTTGCCCACAGGCAGGGTGTTTCCTGCAGTTATTTCTCTTAAATAAAACTTGGACTAAAAGGCAGCAGTTTAGAACCCCAGTTTTACCAAAGGTGCCTACTGTCAGTGCAAAGCAAATTGTGACAAGTATGGCTACGTCAAAACTGCTGTAAAATCTCCAGGTTTTAAACTCTAAATCACTCCTGGGCAGACTGATTTTTAAATGTCCGGGTTGGGGCAGAACAAGGCATAATAATAAGAGAGGTGATGATAGGGAAGACTTCTTCTTCCTTCTGGTAGCCATCTGGTGACCAAAGAAAAATCGTAGCATGCACAAAGATTATTTACATGATGTAGTTCAGATATGCCATATTTCAGCTAAACACAGAAACTGAGAGAGCTGCTTGGGATCCTGTTTACTGAAGCTATTAACCATTTTCCTGTCTATAAATACGTAATTTACTACAATACACATGCAAAGAAACACACAAACTAACAAATACCAAAACCCGCTGTCCTACAAATTACAAATATGCCTTAAAATATTTTAGCCCATTCTAGTTTAAATATGTACAGATTAAAACTTAACGTAGCACTAAGTATCCAAATCAAAGAAGGTGATTTAGAAATTTTAAAGCACAAACCAGCAAACTTAAAAAAAATAACAATAGTAACAATGAGGCCCTTCAAACCCTTGGCATTTGCAGTGTTTGCTGACAGAAGTAAATCTTAACAGAAGCAGGTGAGGCAGAGTGAGTGCCTGCTTCCACCTGGGCCCACAGCACTGTCCACCAGGGCACCTCAGGGGCCGTTTACACTGCCCAGCTAACCATTATGGAGAATATCATGTGAATTTCCACCAACAACTCAATCGGGATTGAACACGACCCTTGAAACAAATACTTTGGCTTTCTTTTGTTCACTGCTTCACTGTTCTGTCTCAACAGTTCATGCACAGTATCATAGCACTGATCTAATCCTCCCTGTTTAGAACTTAGTTATCCACCTTTGAAAATATTATCCACACAAGCTGATGAAATTTCTAAACACCATATTCCACGGGCAAATGTCAAATACAGACCAGGGTGCTGACAGTCATCAGCACTTTTATGCAAAACGAACCTTGTCAATGAATAAAATACATACACACTGCTGCTAAACTCCCCTTAAACCTCAGTTAAGGCAGTGTTTCTTTACATAAGGTTTGCTTTTTCTAATTTTTACTAAGCCCTCATCATAATCATGGTTATAGCCACTGGTTATGGAGGGCAACTGAAATCCACTCCTACTTGCTGTGGTTTTGAAATTATACAGAATACATACTTGGGCACCTGAATATACATGGCCTGATTTTCTGAAGTGTTGAGCACCTCCAATTCCCATGAAATCAATTGAAGTTGTTCTCCAGCAACTGAAAGCAGGTCAGTGCACTCAAATCCCAAAGACTATTTTATTTTATTGCATATTAAATGACCACATAAAAGACTGTGGGGTTACCTTTATTCAAGTGGCATTAATTATTTAGCAGTTGCAAGATGCTATATTGGAGGACAATGGTACAAACTTTCTTGCAGTTCAGCGTCTTTAGTTACATGCTATCAGTATAGGAAAAAAAGAAAATATAAATGAGCAGTTCACATGAACTTGGAAGCCAGTACAGACAACTAGGAACTCACTGTCCCCTCAAATAGTATCATTCTCTGTTTGTAAAGCAAATCCTCAACTTGGGAAACAGAAGCAATATTTTCAACAGTGATTAAAATATTCAGGGAGAGTTCCCAGAACTAGGAGAACTAAAGACTGACAACAGTTCTGCTATCATAGTGAAGAGGAAATGCAACAAATTTCTCTCAGTTGCAATCTTAAATGATTTTCATAACCTGTTGATAAGCCCCTACTATAGCACAATAACACTTTTGCAGTACTGGATTAATCTAATAAATTGTAACAGGTTCAAAGACAGTAAATTACGAATAGAAATAAAAAGGGTAATTTCAAGATTTAATTAAGCAGACAAGATGTACTTTTCAGTTGAAAACAGAACATGAATCCCCTTTGTGGGTGTCTCCAAGTTGAGCTCATGGAAGTGATAGCACCTTTCACTGATGGACCATGCAAAAGTAATTTTTAAAAAGGTATTTGGATTTTAGGGAAGCATCCTTGTGACTCATGAAAATTAAACTGCCTCTGCACCCCTGCTGTCTCCTGTTGCAATCTCCAATGTACACCATTACCTTTTCTGACTCATTCCTCCATGATCCTGTCCCTGCAACTTCATAAAGTGATTTTGCCAAAAAGCAATACTTGTTTTTATTCTTCCCTTTACATTGGGGCTCACTGGCAATCTCAGGGTGAGAAATGTAATAATCTCAGGACAAATATGCAGCCTAAGACAGCACAGACACTACTTCTCCTGACAGTTTCACTGTGTTTGGAATAAAGTAGCTGTGATGACTGTGCTTTATTTCAGTCTGTGAGTACTACAAAGCTGTGGGGTATGCTTATTGTACACCTCTTGGGTTTTAGCTGTATTTTATGCCTCTTTCAGGACAGTCTAATCCTCAGCAGCTTCTTTTGTAGTTTCCAAATCAGACACTACCTGGGTTAAGTAGTAGCTATAAAGGTTCTTTCTCTTATTGTTTTCCTGAGTTCAGATATCATGTGTTGTTATTTCAGTAACAATTGCATTGTACTTAGGCAAAACATAAATTTGGGATGTTTAGGATTCATTTCTTCATAGCAATGTTCCTTTCCTGTCCCTACAAAGTCTAACAACTCTTACTGAAAGAAATGTGTCCCAGTCAGACTATTCCATTTTCCTGCAGCAGTGGATGACAAGATCAGTTACGTTTTTCCACTCAAGTCTATGTATTAGCAAGTATTTTGTAAGTTAAGTAACACAGAACTCTTAAAACATTATATGCCATTTCTAAAACGTGCATATTGTATACATCTTGTCAAGACAAAATGTTCAGCATCTAAAAGCAACTAATTTGTGTACTTTGAAATGGATGTCACTGGCATAACCAAGATAAAAGAAACCCTATTCTTATTATAGATGCTCATTAAAACTTTAAATGTGCTTTCTGATTCCATCGCTGTAAAAAGAGGTTTGTCACTTTACAATTAATAATTCATTTAGCTATGAACAGTTAACAGGTAGAAGACTTCAGAAGCAGTACAGAAGTCATTTCTACAAATGACAAAATTCTGTTAGTAAATAAATCCCCAGTATCTCTTTGTGAGACAGGCTTTAAGAGGCCTCCCTTCAATATTCTGACAACGTCAGATGAAGCAAAATCTGCTATCCTATGTTACTATTATTTTATTCACAGGGAAGAGAGCTATATGACAGGCAGAAGTGCTTCCTAGCACCCAAAGCCAAGCACAAGCTGTATCCCAACATCATGCTGAGACTTGGAATATGCCTCTTTCTTGATCTTTCCCACCTGTGCCTCACACAGGACCTATGTTTTGTGAGCCAAAAGGAACTTGCCAGTCTTCTTGCTTCAGATGGCCAGCTCTGAGGGAATACTGCAAAGTACACCTGTCCTGCTGTTCACAGGCTACAGAAATTACTTCAGGTCACATGAAGTCTATGGCAACTTCAGGGACTGAACATGGTTATCTCCAGTCTCAGTCCAGTACTTCAACCACACAATACACTTAACTATAGTAAGTCACAGAAACCCACAGATGCAAGAGACTGATAAGAACTTATTTTTATTGACAGCCTGTCACCAGAGGATAACCTACTAGACATTCCAGAGAAATAATTTATGTTACCACATCTCACAAACATACATTTGAATTTTTCTCTGAAGCACTTTTTTTCAAATGTCAAAGTCTTATATGCAACTGTATCCCATATAAGGAGACAATATAATTATATGCAAAGGATGATGAGCAAAAATCAGTGTATATGGGCCTAACTTCTCAGTTAATTCACTTTTTGGGGAAAAGACATGGCTGTCATGTCAGAATTTGATCTTGACAACACACCTACAAAACCCAAGTTACCATAAGAAAGCTTTCCATTGTGCACAAGAACACCTTGAAGGCTGCTCCAATAAACACAGCTGATCTGTTTTATTATCAGAGGCTGTTAAATCCCACATACGACCATCACTTACAGGAGAAAGGCACGTGGAAGCCTGCACTAATACAGTCCACACTTTCAGCAGAATACATCTTAGCTTGTTCCAGATTTGTAATAAGGCAATCAAGTGACTTCAAAGTCAGATGCTGGCATATGTTAAGTATGCCCTGGTTTGTGTAGAAAAATACAGGACTGCCACCAGCACCTGAAGGAAGAAATCCTTAAATTGATTCTATTGTCTTGACTCTTAAATCATTGTATCAGTCTCAAAGCACATAAAACTATGTACATGCTTCTATGTGGGGACAGGCTGAAGCTCTGGTTAAACACACACCAAAAAAAAAAAAAAAAGCATCCATTTCAGGTTGTAAAGGCCAGAGGCTGATAATTTCTTTGAAGAACTCCAGCCATTGTCTGAGGCATGAGTGACAAAATCTACCAACTCTCTAAATTTGGATAAAAGAGGAAGAGCAATTTTTTTATTACCTGTTTATCTGGGATGGATAAATTGACTAGATTCAGAGGTAATGACATCTAGAAGTTTCTTTAGTACCAGCCTGTGAATGCAAATGAAACTTAAGGATTTTTTGTACATTTCAACAAATGAGGTTTCAACACTTTCAGTCCCAATATACCAATATCCCATTAACAGTCTAAAATAAACCGCTTTTTATGGAGAGCTGCCATAGTCACCCGTATGTAAAAACAAATGATTTTCAGCTTCTCATTTTCAAGAACATTAACTTCATCATGAAAAAGAGCAAGCTCCTTAGAAAGGCACTGCAGGTCTGTAAATGCCATTTTTAAAGTTCAGAAAAAGATAATTAACAGACTGAAAATGTCACTAAAGATGAGACCAAGACAGTTAGGCATTTCAAGATTTCCTAAGTAACCACAGGAGTTACATCTTTTCTCAGTGAATGCAGTCCTACTAATAATGTGAAACTGTATCTGCAAGTTTAGAACTTCTTATTGAAGTGTGAAGATTAGAACTTAGTATTTTGTTTCTCTCTTCAGATTAATGATTAGATTCAGTTATGATACCACTGACATGCTATTGGTACTACAATATTAAGAGACACTTTCATACATCTGAGAAAAAAAAATCCTCTGAAAGATCAAAAAAAAACCAAACAAAGAAACAAAAAAAACCACCTGAAAAAACCCCGACCACACTGATTGTAGACCATGGCATGGCTGTGGAAGACAATCTAAAGACCAACGAAATATTAGTGACCAACAATAGTCGTTCACTATTGGCAAGAGAATAGATTTTACATTGGAAAAATATACAAACTATATTCAAAATACAACAATTTTAAAATATTTTATTGAAATTAGCATAAAAAAAGATTTTGAAGGCTATTTCTCAATTGGTTATTTCTAAATATTAATGAAAAAGTAGTGGTTCATTTCCAAGAATCTCCACCATAAAGTTATGTACTTTAGGAGCCTTTTGTTTTTCTGATCATTGCTTCCATCATATCCCACTGCTCTTTGGTAACCTAACAAAAGAAAAGAGATTTTATTGGAATTTCATATCATATTTGCACATCAAAGTGTCTGAATGTAAAATAGCAAACAAGGAAATTAATACCCTCTTCAAATCATTGAATTCTCCTGCCATAGAAACATATTCTCCACCATCCATTCTGATAACCTAGAAAGAGCACAAATGGTGTATTTAGTAATTGTGTGATTTCTGCAGTATTCCCTTGCTCTGAACTGTGAAAATAAATTTTACTGATTTAGGTGAAAAAAGCCTATACTCAAAATAATGCAATGCAATCACTTTAAAAAGTTTTTTAAAGGTGCTAACAACCATGCACTACACTTTAAAGATGAATAATACTTGTAAAGAATTTTAAATCAAGATATTTTGTTTCATTTCTGAAACCAAGGCTTTAAAAAATATCAGCAACACTCACACCATCATCAGGTACAAACAAGATCAACCAAAACTCACTGCTCCATTAACCCAGCTTGCATAGTCACTGCAGAAATATGCAGCAAGATTTGCAATTTCTTCTATAGTTCCCAGACGACCACAGGGAATCCTCTCAATTATCTTCTTCTCAAATGCACCTGTTGGGTCAAGGCGGCTAAAAGCACCCTGAGAATTAAAAGAAACATTAAAAAAGAAGTTATAACAACATCAGAAAATAAAATGCAACAGAGATTTGACTCCACAGACACGATATGGAAGTTAATATTTGTGAGTAATCTGTCTACACCCTAATTGTCAGTAGCATAAAAAAGAAAGAAGTAAAAAAGAAAAGCAATTTATCCCTGTTGCACTGATATGCATCTACTGATGATAAGCTGGAATTTAATCCATTTGGGATAAGTCACCCACCATCTATGTGCAAGAAACAAAAGGGTTTAATCATCTTATTTTCCTCAAACACCCTTGATAAACATTTGAGGAAATAACCAAAACTCAAAATTGCTGCATGGACAGAGGAGAGGAACAAGGGGGAAGAGGAACAGGAAAGTGACCAGAAATAAATTACAGATGGCAGAGTAAATAAAATGGAAAAGAAAAAACCATCAAGTTCAGTTAAATTGCAGCAACTGCTAAAGCTAAAGGAAGTCATCAGAAGCTTTGGTACTTGAATAGCTTAAAATGGCATGGGAAATAAAAGGGTTTTTTCCTGCTCCACCACAAGGAAATAACCGCCTCACTCAAAATCAGAAATGTATCAGTAACATTTATGTTAAATTACTGGAGTCAGGATTTAAAACACATTGTAATTCATGTAATCATGGCTGCAAGCATGCCATTTAAGTATTCTATTGCCATGTTTTTAATTGCCACTTTATAAGCCTAACAGTTCTGTGCTTGTATGTCTTGTTCTTTTCCCATCATGACTTAAAACAGTTAAGTTTTAAAGCCACTGATATTGCCTCTAAGGCAGAAAATCTTGATTTTACAATATGCAAATATGCTGTCTGCCTTTTTATGCTTTCAGGGAAATTTCAAGTTGGAACCATACACCAAATGTAGCATTTTATTAATAACACACATTATCTCAAACAGGTTATACACTATTAGTTCAAAAAAGGAACAATAACTGGAGGTAGCACTATAGACACTTAAATCCCTTAACTTGCCAAATGTTTTTCTTCTCCTTTTACTTAAATATACACAAGATACAAGGCCTGGAGAACTTCTGGTCTGATCCTTTAATGGTATTTCAACATTCTTATAATCCTGCCAATTCTGCCACTTATTTTTCTTTCTAGTGAAAAGAGTCAAAACTAAGTTTTTCAGTGTATCATCTAAAACTGACAAGAGGGGAAAAGGAAAGAATAGTAAATAAAACAAACAATAAAGTGAAAAAGAACCAACTCTGCACCCCTATTCCCAAAATAACAGCAAAAACAACTGTGAAATATTTTACAGGAAGAAGTAATACCATCATTATAGTTGTTAGTGCTCATAATCATAATAATTTGATTCAATGGGAAATGGATCCTCCTTTTTCTCTTCTTGCAGGACTGCTTTCTGTGTTCTTCCTGTTCCAGCTGCTCTGGATTACTTCCTTCAAACCCTCCAGTCCTCCTTCTCACTCACTTCAAAGCTTCTCAAATCCTTGCCAACTTAGTTTTTCTAGTTTTGAAATTTTCAAAAAAACTAGTGAGATTCTGTTCCCATATACCTAAAAGAGATTCTAAGACTTTGGAATGTTTCATATGTTTTGTTTAAAAATTAGAGGTTCAGGCAGAAACAAGAACTTTACTTCAACAAGTGTAAAAATTCACTCCACTTGACAAACGAAGTACACAGAAATAAGAATCATCATTAAGTACTTTGATATATCAATTCTTTCAAACACTAAAAAAAAAGGTTCTGTTTATATCAAGTGTAGTAGAGGGGACAGTGGCAGGTCTTAGAAGTTCAAGAAATCCTATTTTACAAAAAGACTAAGAGGGAAGCATGTTCAGTATTCCAGCACAGTCTTGACTATCATGGAAATCATATTAGAATTTACAGCTACAGAAAAGTTAGACTGTTGTGAAGTTAAGTCTGTACTACAAAGCATATTCAAGGCTGTGTTTCACTTCATGCCATGTACCTTTGTTTTTATTGGACCTGGTTGAATCACATTGAATCTCATGCCGTATCTACCCCATTCAGCCGCAAGAGACCTAAAAATCCATTAACAGAATGCATCAATATTTAAAACACAATATTGTAATCCTATTCAGAAAAAAAGAAATTAAACTTTAATCAAATGTGTAAATATTAGAACATTCCTTAAGCAGATAATTTCTAATTAAAGGGGTTTTTTTGTGCTTAACAAAATCATTTCAGAGAAGCAAAAAAAAAAAATCTCATTCACCAACAGAGGAATATTGTAATCATAGGTAAAGCAGGGTGAAGGAGCAATTCTTTCTCCACTGCAAATCACAGATGGTGCTGGCACCTGAATTCCTTACCAAACAACCATTAGGCCATCATCTTTCTGTGGCAATTTAGACTATCCCACAAGTACACATTTCTAACATTTGCAACACAGCTCTCACTTTATGTTTTGAAATAAAACCAGAGGATATATTCTAAAACAGGACCACTAGAATAGTTTTGCTTTATAACATTTTCTCTGCATGATGAGTACTTTGGATCTACTATAATGAATGAATTAGCTGAGTCATAAAGTCTCTGCAAAGTACACATTTCCGTTACAGCTCTGTAGAACAGAAATCAAGACCATTACTCAGTCCCTCATTTTCTTCCAGATAAAGAATTCTAGTTTTTTAGTAATTCTAGAATTACTAAAAGGTTTCCAATCTATTCAATTCTTTCTGCTGAAGTGCAGAGGAAAGATCTATGTGCTATGAAGGACTAGCCTGAAATTAAAAATGAAAGAAATCCTTTTGTTTGCTGAGCACCATGAATATGTCAACATGATACTGTTCTGAACTAAGTAGAACCGCAGACTTTAATTTTAAATACTGACAGGAAACAAATTTGTTGATGAATTTAAACAGAGCTGAAGCCACACTATACTGCACTCAAATAACAGGCATGTATTTTCCTCTGACAAAAGAATGTAGAAGGTGCTATAGATCTCAAACAGTCCCCTTAATAGCTGCTTACCTATGCTGGTTCACCTGTGAGAATGCAAGAGAACCTGATCATCAAAACTGTGTGAAACTAACTTTGGAACTTGCAATTGCCAAAATAAGTATTTCTACTTGTCCTTATCTCTGTCTTGTAAATAAACCAGTAGCAGTTTATACTTCCCTCTGAAAGAAGCTGTCAGCATACTATTTTCTTGCTGGGATACTGAAGCTTGGACTGAATTCTTGTGGAACAGTGAAACAGGGGGACTACTAGTGAGCTCCATTTTTATAGACCAATTACCCCATCCTAAGGATGTGAAAACCAAAGCACAAATTTTGCTGTATTACTCACTTGCTCATTGCTTCTACACCAGCTTTGGCAGAGGCACTCGGCAACACAAATCCTGAACCACTCTCTGCATAAATTGTTGTAATAGCCAGGAATGCTGCTCCTAGAAGGTGCAAAAAACATTTAAACACAACCCTGAAGATCAAACTCTCAAGTTCAGGTAAAAGCAAGCTAAATGGTATAGAAGATTTCAGCTCAAGTGGTAGGGATACCTTTTCACTCTGGGCAGTGAAAAAGGCATTTTAAAAATACAGTGTTTGAAACTTTCTTTCCAAGCCTTTTCATTTCAGTTCCCTCTTTTGCATGAGTGTTAAGAGTTGTTCCAGGTATGTGCAAATAGCTATTGAATAGGCTCTGAAGGTCTAAGCCCTCAGACTTCCACTGATAATGAACTTAATGCATAAATTAGTCTAACTGAAGTGAAGGCCTAAGATCTTACAGTGTTTTTTCAGAAGCTGCCCCAGTCTAGTTGTCAGTAACCAGACATTTTGTCCTAAATTCATCAATTACTAAGTGGGGAGAAAAAACCCAAAAAAACAACAAAACAAAATAAAACCACAAAAAAAAAACCCAAACAAAACCCCCCACCAAATAAAAAAAATCAAACTCAAAACAAAAAACCAACCAAACAAAAAAAAAAAAGGAAAAAAATCAGCATTAATGGTTAGGTTTGGCATAATCTCAAATTAACAGATGAGGGCTTGACTCAATGTTTATGCAGAGAAATAAAGATTTTAAAGAAATTTTCAGAAGCTTTTTCAGCAGCAGAGCCAATTACAGAGTGAACCTGTATAACATTTCCTATTATTTCCACTACAAACTCCATTATAAAATAACTACTTTCTTTTATATGCTATATTCTACAACACATTTAGTAAAAAAATTCTAGAATATAATGGAAACTGCAACTACGTATTTAATCTTTCTTTTATAGAATCCTGCAAATTATATCCGATCAATGACTGGCATGAGCTTACTGTAGCTGGGAAATGAAGGACAAGGGATGACAGTTCACTGCTTACGTCACAGTAACTAAAATAACTGTTCTACTTGCTGTATTTCAAAAATAATTTCATTAGAATAGCTGTCCAGGGGATATTTCTAAAACAATATACACTTCTGATAAATTGCATGTAAGTAGACTCAGGTAAAAAATTACAGTAATATTACACAAGAGAAACTATAAAGAACCAAAAACAAGCACTAATTGAAATGCCAGCAGATATCCTGAAACCATGGGCCCTGTTTATAAAAAAGGAGTCTTCACTGAGAGACTTTGAAAAGAAAAATCTACCCAGGCAAAAAAAACATAGAACAACATTGAAGTTATCTACAGATGATTGTTAATTACACATTTTGTAGAATTAAAACACTGATTTTCTTTTTAAATATAGGTTAAATAGAGGTAAGCTAGGTGAACCTAACACAGAAGCAAGAATAACTGAAATTTACAGCTCTGATACTTAAAGAACACTTCAGCTCATACACAACTTTTATTTCTAAAGCCTATATTCATAAAACGGACAATAACTTATCAATTAGCTCCTCTCACTTTGTAAAAATAAGTAACATACTAGCAGATTACAAATTCCTTTTAAATACCAGCACAAACTTGCAGTCTAAAAGCAGAGAACTTTTATTTACCACATTAGACTTAATGAAGGTCACACTGCAGACCTAAAGGACACCCCAGTGTTCTAGAAACTGTCAGTTCTGTAGCATCCTCACAGACTGCTCTGAAATATTTGCACTAGATAGCATCACTTTAGAAACCAAGGTCTCTGCTCAAACTAAAAAAAACCAAGCAAGTACAAAGAAAATGAAGGTGAGAAGACAAACACATACACATGACTTACTTAGAAAAACATGTCTTAAAGAAAGCCTTAAACAGAAAGTCTTATTTACAGATGGACTCCCCTAGAAAGAAGACATGCAAGTAGTAGCAAAAGAAATTCAAATGTTTTGGAAGCTTAGAAGTCAAAGAAAGAGAGACAGCATGAAGGTAAATGATATCTGGATTTTACCAAATTTGAGGACAGAGGTAAGGAAAGCAATGTTGTTCATTCAACAACAATAAAAACAAAAACATGTTTGATTTCAGATTTCACATTACTATATGGGCACACCATGTGCATCTGGAAGACCATAAGGCAACCCATTTCAATGGTCTGCCATAATGATATATTAACTCACAGCTGGGGATGGGTTTGCCATGTGGGAATATCAGCACTAGAATGGAAATTAATTTTCCATGTGCTGCTAAAATATAGAGGGAACATACTTGTATACTAACAAAAACTGTTACAGAGCCACTGAAACAACATTAATTTAATATTGTTATAGTTAATTAGTATAAACGCATAGAATACTTTTTGGAGAGGATTTTGAACAAATTCAGCTGATTAAGAGGTTAAAGAAATACCAGTGTAAATACAAAAGTAGTATTTCAACACAGTGGTTGTACCTAGAAAACAGGGCTCAGTAGTGAGGGCACATGGAAAACCGTAATTATATCCCTGCTTTTAAATTAATTTGGCATTATATTATTCTGATCTCATAAAATAGACTCATTGTTTTTCAGTTTATAACTGGAATGTAAAATGAAAGCAGTTCTTTGTAAATAATCTGTGATATAACACAGAAGGGCATACATCACCTTTCCTTTTAAAACAATAATCTGGTTAAATAAATCTTTGGCTAAAGAGTATATAAAAGAACATATTTTTAAGGTGAAATTGTGTGATATTGATATTAAACTTCTGTGATATTGAATTAAACTTCTAGGTAGTCCAGAATTAAGAATTAAACCTGGGAAAATAAAATCCAATACTGACTTCAACTTCAAAGTTCTTTTTCAAATTATCTTAAAGGTATTATTCTCTAGTACTATTAGTCATACAGCACAGCTGTAAATTTTATTTTACTGTAGGAGGAAAATTCAAAGGGGTATCCTGACTTCTTGTTCATTTAAAGAAATATCCCATGTTCAGTTCAATGAAATTAACATGCATAGAGCAAATTCAGAAGAAATAATAGCTTTTTTCTTTTTCAACACAAAGCTTTATTTTTTTAATTTTAAAAATGTTTTACAACTACAACTCTGCAATTAGATTTTTATATTTGGCCTCAGTTGGCCTGTGGACTCAATTGTAAGGCCCGATACTACAATGAAGTAATTGTTAGCCAGATCTACTGTGTGATACTTAAGTACAGCTTTCACTGAAAAACTTCCTTTCTAGAAGAGTGTTAAAAATTGTATTTCTCTTCTCACATGAACTCTCAAAACTGGCTATAATAATAGTAAAGCAAGGAAAGCAAGTTCAAGTAACATGTCACAATGCTTAAGATACCTTTTTGTACTTTAATGAGCTCCTTTCCAATTTCCAGAGTTACAAAAGCAGTACCATTAAGTACAATATCAGTTATTGTTTTCCAGGCATTAGCAGAAAGTCGTTCAGAAGGGGAAATAAAGTTTCCAGCTGCATTGTTTATCACAACCTGAAACACATGAAAGAAAAGAGTTAACTAAAAATAACTCTTCCTGAGACAAAAGTAAAGAATTTACAAGGAGCTTTTTAGTGTTTCCAGGGACAAAAGTAAAAATACTCTCATTGAATGAGGTATGGGGGGCAGGGAAAGAAGGAGAATAATCCAGAAGAAATTTTACCATCTGCAGCACAGATGAAGTATCAGTAACAGAAAATAAGCTGTATTTCCAAACTACTGTATTGAGGAACTGTATAATATAGAGGCTGACTTAAGTCACTGTTTTCCACAGTGTCTCAAGTACATCCTAAGAGAAAAGTTTGCTCCCTTGAAGTTTGCATCAAATTCCAGCATGACATCTATTGAATATAACGGATGCATGGGAAGAGAAGCAAAACACAGGACCTGATAACTAAAGTCTGGATGAAATGACTGCTGCACAACAGGAATTAAAATCAGTCATGATGAGAATATTATGATACAATGTTGTATCATAATATAGTTGCAAACAACTACTACAAAACTTCTGTTGAATAGATGTACCTCCATCACTTCTTATGAACAATTATCAGGTAGAGGATACTTTCACTTCAGGGGACTAAGCATCATATTAGCAGTATTTAAAACAAAAATGATGTAGCCAGATCTAGTGTATTTAATAATATAATGCATTGAAGAATAAAATTATGTACTATTAATGGAATGGAACCTTGATTCATGTAAGTTTGCACATAAAACAAACTATTTGTCCTGAAGAACTTCTGGGCTAAATTCTAATGAAGATATTCAAATTTTCAATAACAAAACAGAGCAGAGTACATATTACATGAATGTGAAACTAATAATATGCAGCAGCCATAAATTATACATATGGATATATGCCTTTAAATTTAATTTAAAGGCCTCCCTGAAATGTGAAGGAAAAAAATCCAAATACCTTGAGATACTAAGGAGGTTACTTGAATCACTGAATAAATAAAGGAATGACACAACAATAGAACTATGAACTAAGAACTGTACTGTATGATCTTTGAGGAATATAGAACTGCCAAAATAAGCCATGACAAAAGAATTACTGCTTTCTAATTGGGAGTAACATTCTTGGGAATGGAATGAACAAAACAAAGCTGGAAGGACTTTCAAGTTTCTGTCTTTGAGATCTCACCTCAGATGCAGTGTGGCAGTGAGTGATACCCAGGATTCATAAACTAACATCTCATTTCTGCAACTAAGAGAAAAACTGGACAAAAAGAACTGAATATTCAGTTTACTCTGCCATCTATCTTAAACACATAAAATACATGAAATTAAAGAGAAGGTAGATGCTTGCAAAGAACAAGTAATGGAAAGCATTTATTCAGAAAATTACTGGTGCTCTAAAAATGTACTATACAGGAAGAAATCTCCTCCCTCTCTGCACACATGTAAAACCTGAAGATCATCATTTTGACTTAGGCCAAAAACTGCCTTAACTAACAGTCAAAATACTATCCAGAGAATCTTGTCTACAAATCAGGACAGTGAGCTGCCTTATTTCTAGCACTGTTTTATAGCATACAGCTATACAGCTATATAGCCTACAATTTCTCTACTTCTATCAATATTTAAAATTCAGTAGGTTCTCCACCACATTGGTATAAAGCTCCTCCTGAATGCAAACTGTCAAAAACTGACATACAATAATTTTAAATTTACAGTAAATAGTTTTAAATCTGGCTGTCCTTTACATTGATGCTGCATCATCACACTTTCTATCAGCCAGCAGAATCCAAGTTATCTCACAATCACATCAGAATTTGGTGATTATCATCTTTCAGTTTCTGAGAACTTAATCTTCAAATTGGAACCTTCTTTGTGTATATCAATAAGCTAAGCAAGGATCAAAGAAGACATTTATGGTTATTTCCATTCCTAATTTGTGAAGCATTGTGTTAAGATGTAATTCAGTAAACACAGGTAAATCACCTTTTCAGGAGGATTTAAGGGCAATATTCCAGTCCCTTAATTCAAAGAATTTCTCCAGAATTGTCCTATTATTTGAAATGAGATGTTAGACCTCAGAGTAAGGGTAAAAATGTTTTGTCTACTTGGCCACCAAATATTTTAAGAACCACAGGAATAGAGTAACTGGTCTAACTATGAATGTTAGCTTTACCTTGAAGTACTGCCACTGTTCTATCTAGTCCTTTTAGACTCCATTAACTTTTTATCTTATTAAGTTTCTTCACACCTACTATACAAAGTATTTTCATTAATGAAGAATGAGTTCTTTCCTTTCCCTAGAAGACTTACATCAGGATGTCCTGCCACTTGGATTGTTTCAGCAACAGCATTCTTAACTGAAACAGGATCTCTCACATCACACTGGATGGCATGAACCTAAAGAATAATGGAAAGGCAGTTTTAATACTTAAAAACTGTATCATTCATAAATTAAACAAGTCCACAGAAGCATACAAATACAAAAAAAAAATCTAATAAAATGTAGAGTATAATACGTAACATATTCATAATTCTGCAAAAATTTACCTTATTCCCTGTTTTAGAAGAAATTTCGTCTGCTGTTCCTTTCAAAACATCCAGCTTCCTAGAAATAATTAACATCCCTTATGTCAGTCAAATGCAATTACAATTCAGATTACCAAAATCTTTTTTTTTTTTCTGAGCTAATATGAAGTATAACTTAAAATATGTGTGTGTGCACATGCATGTTGCTGATTTTCATCAATTAAAACTATGATTAAAACTATGCTTAACCACTAACTTTCTGAAAGAAAACTTTAAGTAATTTATGGTTAGTGTTACTTTAAAGCAACTCAGAAGTGACAATGGTAAGAGACTCTAAAGCTAAGCAACACGTGATAAGCCAGAAAAAAAGCACACAATCATAACAAATTTAGTTTTAGCTACTACTCTACTAGTATTTATAACAGACATACATATTCACATTTAAAACTAAACAAATTACTATTAGGATGAATGTCACACCACTTCTGTTTGATTTAAAATGAGATTGTTTTTCTAGACTTTGCTGAAGTGCTTCTAGACTCTACTGCGTACTTGAGAGCTGTAGAAAATCATCATTAAAGGAAAATCAAGGCTCTTGTTGAAAGTCAGAAGAGGAATGGATTTAATTCTTTATTGTAATTTAAATCTGTATCAAGAACACCTGTAATAAAATTTATTACTGTTCAATACTGCCCATTGTAAATTTTTGTTCTCTTTAAGGCTTTAGTTGAATTAATGAGTAATATTTGAGGTTGTTTATTCTGCTGCCACATTTCACAAAACTGTGCTTAGTTTATTTCTTCCTACTGTTTTTTATACCATTAAACATCTGCAAACAAATCTGCAAGTTTCTAGAATCCACAACAACGACATTGTAATTTAAATGTGTACTGCAACAGAATAAATACAATAATTTTTTTCTGGTTTGTAAGGAAGAAAACATCTATTCAGCAGTCAGTACTATATGAAAGTTCTAAACCATCTTCATTAATATTTACCGGCTTGCTATAACACACTTGGCACCTAAACTGGACAAAGCTGTTGTCATCCCTTTGCCAAGCCCAGTACCTCCACCAGTTATAAAGGCCACTTTCCCTTGGAAGGTATTTGGTGGCAACATCACTTTTTGAAGAGGTGAGAAGAATGCAGCTTGTGGTGCACTGCGGTCTTGATGCAGCACATTTGGCCCACGGCTGAAAAACTGAAAGAAAAAACCCAGAAAAGTTAGGTTTTTCTCCTTTCTGTATGCAGGACTGTTACACAAAATCAGATTTTCCTATGGCAGTGGAGGTGACAACCATAACTCCCTTTTTAAAACTAAATATATATGAATATAAGGATGACTAGATCGTATTATAGCAACATAAATGGGCCTTTACTTAAATGCTATCACTAGACTAGGAAAGCACTTGAGCTATTTTTATATATTACACTGCAACTAGAGAACTACTGAAAAAACACTTCAGTCATGCTTCTTGCTACTTCATGGATTTTTTGTATCTATCACTTCCACTAAAGCATGAAAACCATTAACAACTAATTACAGAAGGACTTGGCCGTCAGATTGACATAGGCACTGTAATTTATGCACAAACAAATCCATGTGATTTTGGTTACATATGTATGTATTTACAAATTTAAAATCTTCAGTAATAGACTCATGACTTTGATCCTTTACTACTGCATCCAACCAAACCTTCTTCTTTACTGGAGAACAGGACAGAATCAAACTTTACAAGACCTGCCCTAATGGCAACTGGAGCTGCTAAGGAAACCAATGTCATCTCCCAAACAAAACTGGGCAGGGTTGGGATATCAGCATCACACTCTAGCCCAGCAGAAATACCATATACAGTACATTAGCCTCGGAAGGGTTAGTCCCTGCAAAAAGATACATGGTTGGAACATGTTTAAAAACAGACATGAAAAGAGAAAAAAAAATCAGTATTACATCTAGAAAACTATGCTAGTAAGAAAATACTCCACAAATGTGATGAGAAATTTGTGATGTCATCAAGAAAGTTGCAGCAAAAATGGTGAACAGGATATTTCTAGCATCCTAATATGCTAAACTAACTCAAGCCCTAATCTAAGTATTGAATTAAATGCCTTGGGACAGCAGCACTACAGTAATAATTGAGAAATTCCCTTATTATTTAAAATACAAAAGTTACCATAACCTGAAGTTGCAAATGCTTCCAAGTACAACAAAACTAGATTTACTTTATTTTTGATGTGCAAATGTAAGTTATACCTATTTTCTCTGGTTTTACCTTGTACTTGAGCCTTTAATGTACTTAATAAAAAAAAAAAAAACAAACCTGATACAATTTTGTGAAAGAGTGAAAGGTTACTCTTGTATGATCCTGTTAAGAAAACTGTGCAATTGTTCAACAGAGCGACATGAAGAAGAAAGGCAGGTTTAAAATAGTAAAAATATTGCATCTTATTCTTCTGTTCACTAATACACATTTTGAACATTACAATTAAGAGACAATATATTTAGTGGCAGATGATTACTCTGTACTCCCCACAGTTACAATGCATTGTGGGTTTCACAGACCTTGAAGTTGGCCTGCAGAAGTGTGCACATGAATCTTTCTGTGTGGTAACACATATACCTAAGTAACTCAGGTGAAGACAGAGGTATTAAATTATCTGTGGAATTACACAGATAATTTAATACAACTTGAAGTATGGTGCTAGTAACACCAGGGTCACAGTCTCAGTCCCTGTATTCACTTAGGAGTTGGACTCGATCCTTGTGGGTCACCTTGTGGGTCCCTTCCAACACAGAATGTTCTGTGAAAAACTAAAATTGAGTTGAATTGAAGAGCTGGAGCCACTACATAGGACAAAATTCAGAAGGCAAAGCTTGAACTAGAGCTAGAAGTATCACATTTGTAAAACACTACTGTTTTTTAATTCTCCCAGTGAAAATAAAATTTGCATGCTTTCACGGAGTACCAGGATACTACTAAGCCTCCAGGAAAGGGAAATGTGAAGGTTCTCTTTTGGGACTTTCTTAGTAGCTCCCTGATCATCTCTCTTCAGGAAAAAAGCTCCCTCTGGAGAATTTCAGCTCATGGCAGAGACTGCAAATCAAGACAACATTTGGACTCCCCCTTCCTTCAGGACATGCAGATAACCTCTGTGAGTGCTGAGACTCCCTGATCAGGGGTCTGGTAGTGACAGACACAGCCCAGTCTTCTTGCCCTCCAAGAAAGAAACACTGCAAGCAGCTTTCCTTCTGCTCCAGCAGGGAAGATTAGGACATGCCATAAAACAGAGGAAAGCAGAAGGCTGCACCAAGACTAATAAAGTACAGCAATGATAACCAGCCAGTAAAGTTGGTATAATTGAGCAATCTTTTAGTCAGACTGCTATCATCTCCTTATTGGCTTGCACAAGAGGCTTCTATGACAGCATCCATGCAATTTAATCATTCCACTGCTTAAGGCTGAGATTTTAAATTAAATCTCAGGTGTAAACAGAGATATAAAGAAGCCAGTAAACAGCTTTAAAAAAAAAATCAAACAACAAAACCATAAATCACTGACCAACGAAAAAACAACCTTTACCCAGGGGGTGGAAGTGAACTGTGAAATAAGTACAGAAAGCCATCTCACAAACACAAAAGTAGTCACTGGAAAGAAGCCCTGTGCTCGTGAAGAACTCACTGGAAATGGCCTCCAGCAAGATCCACACAGTTACAGAATCATAGAATGGCTTGGACTGGAAAGGACCTTAAAGATTATCTTGTTCCAACCTGCCTGCCACGGGCAGGGACACCTTCCACTGTAACAGGTTGTCCAGAGATCCATCCAACCTGATCTTGAACATCTCCACAGACGGGGCATGCACAGCTTGTCTGGGCAACATCTCCAACCTAAAGCACCCTCCTTCAATCTGAATCCATTCCCCTTGTCCTGTCACTACATGCCCTTGCAAGAAGTTCCCCTCCAGATTTCTTGCAGGCTCCCTTCAGGTACTGGAAGCCTGTCATAAGGCCAACTCGGTCACAAGTCAAGCCGCGCCACTGCCTGGACAGCAACATTGCAGCCATTTACCTAAATGGATAGCCCGGCACAGCTGTGCTATCGGGGCCAAAGGGCGACACCATCAAATGGGTGACACGGCAGCGCCCGGCGCTGGGGCAGCAGGCCGTGTGCCGGGCAGCTCAGCCCGCACCTCTGCGGGGGCTCCGCGGCGGACAGGGCCGGCAGCTGAGGAGAACCGAGGGGTGCCCCTTCCCGGCTGCTTCCCCAACCCCGGCAGCGGGAACCGCAGAGCCCTGCCGTGCCCTCCCTCTGACGGAGGGCAGAGCCGGGGCGGCGGGGCAGGAGGTGGCGGAACACCTCCGCTGCGCCGCCCGTCCGCCCTCAGCCCGGCAGCACAGGGAGCGCCTTACCCGCCCGGCGCCGAACGCGCAGGGGCCGCGCACCCCCCGCCGCCACAGCCGCGCCGCCACCGCCGCCATCTTCCCCGCCGCGCTCTGCGCCTGCTCCGCGGGGAGGAGCGGCGGGCAGCGGGGAACCGGCGAGACCGCCCCCGCCCCGGTGCTGCGAAACGTAAATATGTAAACATTTTCTTTAAAGAGGATGTTCTTTGATGTTTGATCCTTGATCTTTGTATACTTTCAAGCCTAATCAACACGAAAGGAGCAAACAAGCTCTAAGCGTTGTCCAGGTGAAAGGCAAATAATTTGTTGGTGGAATTGCCTTGATAAGGCTTAGGGCTTGACATGTTTCAGTGATCTCAGACCTAGAAAAAGATTAACAAAACTTGGGAAGAGGGATGTACTACTGACAGTGGACACAAAGAATTCAGAATTTATGGGCTACAAGGGCATTTGGCAAAATCGCCATAATAAACAAAAACTAATAAAGACAAGTCTGCAACATCGCTGAAGTCAGCTCTGACTGGGTATTTCTGATGGGGGAGATTGCCCACTCACCCAACAGAGGAGAAACACCGAGTATATGGTCTAAACAGCAGGAGAAGTGAGAGAATCACAAACCAATAGAAGATAGAATGCTAATTAGTAAGAGAACTAGGTAACTGGTAGCCAATGAACATGAATGTCCTTTTTTGCTAAAATGTTTAAATAGCGAAAAGTTTTGGTGTCCTTGTGCTGGCCTTGTGGATTTGTCACCCAACACGCCTTTCTGCACAGAACTGTAAATAAAACAAATGTGGATTGCCTCTTGCACACCAGATGAAAGAACCTATTTTGGAACAACACAGGGGCACCTTCTCGGCCACAGCCACTGCCCCGGTGCCCTCAGTTCCAGCTGTGGGAGTTGGAGAATGCTTGATTTATCTGTGCTGAGCACAGAGACTGACTGATGGAAAAAGTAATCACTGATACCCACCCATTTGTTACATCTTGGTAACCACAGAAACCTGCAGAGTCGTACCTACTCATAAGGAAGGGTAAGGGGTTGGAGGAGTAGCATGGTAGCTGTAAGAACCTACAGATTTAATAAAGCTTCAGGTTTTGATATAGTTTAATGAATCTACGCAGTTACAAAACTTGGCATGAAAGACAACAGATCTATCAGTGGGTCTGTGCTATCAACTTTTGAGTTAAGAATTCCAGGCAAACTGGTTACACACCACTGTGGGAGTTCAGAGGAAGCAGAATTTAAATCCTACAGCTTAGTCATCATTGCCCTGTATAAAAATGGCAAAACAGCCATTTTCTCCACATGTTCAGCATTTAGGAAAAAAAAAATAAATTGATGCTCTGTCGGCACAGCAAGCTCTAGAGTAGGTAACATTTTCCTAAGTTCAACACACAGTCTGGCAGGCATTGAAGCAACAGTGCCACACTTCTGGGCAGTAGTTGCCACATTTATCATTAAAGCAGCACATGGAAAATATTTGGTAAGAGTTTGTTAGAGGGTTGCTCTAAGAATTGCATAGTAAAATACCATTACAAGCAGTTAATTCAACCACACTGAATCTCAAGGCATCTGTAATCACTGGACAGAAAAACAAAACAAAACTCCAAAAATAAACAAAGAACCCCAAGAAATAAACTACCAAAAAAAAAAAAAAAAAAAAAAAAAAGGAGACACAGAGTGCATATAGTTGCATTGAAGCAACAGTGCCACACTTCTGGGCAGTAGTTGCCACATTTATCATTAAAGCAGCACATGGAAAATATTTGGTAAGAGTTTGTTAGAGAGATGCTCTAAGACTTGCATAGTAAAATGCCATTATAAGCAGTTAATTCAACCACACTGAGTCTCAAGGCATCTGTAATCACTGGACAGAAAAACAAAACAAAACTGCAAAAACAAACAAAGAACCCCAAGAAATAAACCACCAGAAAAAAAAAAAAAAAAAAAAAAAAAAAAAAAGGGAAACAAAAAAGGAGTTTGGCCTGGCTTTTGTTAGCGGGGGTGGGGGGGAGGCCACAGAGGTGGCTCCTGTGAGATGCCAGCCCCCATCCACGCTGACCCGGGGCGAAGGGGACCGGCTGCGACACGGGCACAGGCGAGATCCGCGCGGCGGCCCCGGGCCCGGCCCGCGCAGGCGCGCCGGCCCACCGCTGCCGAGGTCGCGCGAGGCCGGTAGGTGGCGCTCTCGGTCGCGTCCCGCCCCTTATTCCGGCCAGGCGCGCGGGATCGTGGTGGTGGTGGTGGAAGATCCCGGGATTTTCTCTCCCCTGCCCGGCCTTGTCCGGGTCGCCGGGGGCTGCCGGGCGGAGCTCCAGGATGTGGAAACTGGTGCCCGCCTCGGGAAAAGGTGAGGGAACGTCCGAGGGCTCCGTGGCTCCGGCGGGCTGGGCCCGGGCACCGCGGGCCCCTCCCCGCCCCGCGCGGCTCCCCGGGAGTGCCGGGCTGCCGTAGGGCCGGCTCCAGCCGGGCGTGCGTGTCCGCGCTGCCTCGGGCCGATAGTGACCTAAGTCCTGGTCGTTCGTCCACGGCGAAGCCTCCATATTTTCCTGGAGCACTGCCCGCCACAGCTCCTGTTAAACCTATTAGGGCTTCTTTTCCATCCTGTGTTGGTTGTCTTATGGTGCTGCAGGTTACAGAGTCCTGCTTTGAAATACCCGGAGAGTTGAACTCTGAGGCAGCAACCTCAGAAACGATGTGTAACGACCAAGTGTTGAACTTTGAAACTAGATTGCCTCTATACTTTTCTTTGTTTTCTTGTCTATAGGAGCTTTAATAATAGGTATCATATAATACATGTATTTCTTCCTAAGTGCTTGTAAGGAACAGACTTAACACAACTGCATCTGCTCTATTTCCTGGTTCACTGGGAGGAGATTTTGGATGTTTGATTTATATCCTGGTACACACCTAATATATATCCTAATTTATACCCTGATACAGCACCTAAGAGCTGATCTACCTCTTACTGCCTGGAAAGCTCTTGAGTGGACCAAAACACTCTTCATTCTGTTCAGAATGATCATTTCTGCACAGGTCAGGGTTAGGAGGTTATTTGCCATGCTTGATAACTGGAATCCATCTTTATGTATTCATTTTCATCAAGAAACATTTTTGTTTCTGTTGACCAGTGGTAGCACACCTTTGGGAGAGAGTCAAGCCATTCACTGGGAAGCCACCATGGGGTCCAGGTGGCAGGTACAAAGCATAAGCTAAAGCATTAGCATTGGTCAGAGGCTGAACTTACTAAGTACTAATTTGATTTACGTGAAGATCTCCTTACATTCGTTAGGAGGACATTATCCTCTCAGCCTCTTAATTATGTGAATAAACAATATAATCTCAAAAAATTACCTACCCTTATAAAGGTGTTTTAGAAAACCAATCTTACATTGTGGGGTTTTTTTTTTTCTTCTAGATGTTACTCTTCAAGAGAAGGTATTGGTAAAAATATATTGTCCTTGAAAAAATTGTACTGCCACTTTTGAAACTGATTTGTTTATCGTAAAATGTATCCTTTTGTAATGGACAGAGCAAGGGAGCAAGAAAGAAAGAAAGAGGTTTTGTCTGTAAGCTAAATGGATAATTCTAATCAGAATCACAGAATTCAGAGTCACAGAATATTCTAAGCTGGAAGGATCATTGAGTCCATTTCTTAAGTGAATGGCACACATGGGGATAAAACCCACAACCTTGGCTTTGTTGGCATCCTGCTCTGAGCATAAGTGATGCATGGCAAAGCTGAGATTTACAGGTACTACAAACTTCTCAGTTTCTCTCCCATGCACTTCAGGTATTTTGGTGTTTTTTTCTAAATTGGTATTTTTCTGTCCCTTGGTTATTTCCAGGAGAACCATATCGGCTTCTAAGCGGTGTAGAATATGTTGTTGGACGCAGAAACTGCACAATTCTCCTTCAGGACGATCAGTCTATCAGTCGAAGTCACGCAGTTCTGACTGTAAGTCGGCCTGAAACAAGCCCTGTAAGTAGCCACCATTTTACTGCATTATCAGTGCACTGTGGGGATAATTCAGGCTGCCATGACCATGCATACTCTCATTTTGCTCTCACCAGTTCTATGCTTGGAGTAGAACCATTGATCGCCTGTCTTTTTTTTTTTTTTTTTTTTTTTTCATCTTGAATTTTTTTTCCTCCCTTGGGTTTGTTTGCTTTCGTTGGGGAATTTTGTGACATAATTTTAGTAGCTTCCTTTTATCCAGAGTGAAGATTCACTAGGAATTTGTATTAAAACAATCATGGTAGGAAAATGATGCAGTTAGGTTTCATTACACAGACAAATTTTCAGTTCTGGGAAGTGCTTCAGTTGTTTTACTGCAGACTTAGTGTCTGTTTCATTTCACATCATTAATGATGTATTTGCTTAGGGCACGGAAAAGAAAAATGTACCAAGGAGAATTAGCAATCAGCAATTTACTAAGTGTTGTGACAGTTATGAATGTTTTGAAGCAGTCAGCAAAAATTTAGTTTATGTAACCTTATGTAGTGTTTAAAATAAAACATGTAAAGTATATTTGTCCCTTTAATACTGCAAATACTGAGTCCAGCGGAGGACTGTGAAGATAATGAGGGGACAGGAGCACCTCAGTTGTGGGGAAAGGCTGAAGGATCTGGGCCTGTTCAGCCTTGAGAAGAGACAGCTGAGAAGGGACCTCATTGGTGTCTGTCAGTAGCTGGGAGGGTGTCAAGGGGATGGAGCCAGGCTCTTCTTGGTGTGTCAAACAGTAGGACAAGAGACCATGACAGAAACTGGAACACACAAAGTTCCACCTGAACATGAGTAAGAACTTTACTGTGAGAATGACTCAGCACTGGAACAGAGTGCCCAGAGAGGTTATGGAGTCACTATCTCTGGATACTCCAAAGGAGCCTGGAGACAATCCCAAGCAGGTTTCTGTAAGGAAACCTGCTTCAACAGGCAGGTTGAATTAGATCACCTCCAGTGGTCCCTTCACACCTTTTCCATTCTGTGTAGCAGCATATAACTGCATGGCAGAATTTCATAAAAACAAGCTGTCATTGTTGTCATTGGCTTGTGAGCCACTTTGTAAATCTGACAGTATCTAACCTCTTCTCAAGAGATGCTGGTGTCTCCATGTCCTGCAGTTCGGGGAAGACTAGCATTCCTCATGGAAGGAAGCATTAGCAAGTGCCCTCAGGTGACCTTAGGCTTTTACTTGCTATTCAATGCCCAGGATAGAACTGAGTGGTAGGTAAAAATGTAATAAATCTCAGAGCCTTGCTAAATTGCACTAGCTCAGGCCAATGAATGACTGCCACGCACAGTCTCCAGAAAGATGAAGTGAAAGACTAAGTGTAAGAAGCACAGAAGTTCTAAAGCTAAAAACATGTATATTTTCTCTTATTCCTCTACAGTGAAAAACAGAAGACAAATAATTACTTATAGCAAGCCTCATTGTCCAAAGCCTTTATTTAAGATGGTATTTTGTGGGCTGCTTCTTATTTATCCATTGCTTTGATTCACAATGATAGTAACTTGTTTCTGATAAAGCTGTTTCATTCTGATAAACTATAATGGCTTATTTATGTTTATTTTCAGAGTCAGTGTCTCTCAGTACCTATATTAACAGTAAGAGATACATCCAAGTATGGCACTTTTGTTAATGGATCAAAACTCAATGGTGCTTCAGTGTCTTTGCAGTCAGGTGACAGAATCAACTTTGGAGTCTTTGAGAGCAAGTTTAGGTAAGTGTTTTGATTATAAAATACCAAGTTAAAAATTAATTTCTAGAAGAGTATTTTAGCACATCATGCAACTTTGCAAGTGGTACAGCAATGATTAATTTTTAGACAGCAAAGGAGGTAAGTAGTATTTTGGCTGTGTTCCACACCTGCTTCTGAAATATTTTCCATTATATTTTTACATAATTTATTTTGTCACTAGGAGATTAAAATTGTAGATAGGAAAACATTGGCATTTTAGAAGATAATATGTCATGTACAGTGAGTATTTTCAGGCTCTTTTAGGCAAAGAACAAAATCCTACACCAAATGAGAAGAAGGGAGACAGGTTTAGAGTTTGTTGGAGCCTTTGTTAGTTGTTCATAATGTAATGAGAAAAGAACTGACATTGCTGGGGGATGTGAACCCAGCTTGATATTTTTTTTCCAAATTTAACATGGTAGTGCTGTTTATTTATAGGAAGCACTTCTAGAAATGAAATAGCAGATAAATAGAAAAAGTCTAATGACCATTAAAATCAATGTTAAAGTAACCAGAAGGTAGCTTTGTGCCTTAAAATTTTACTCAGTTTTATCAATGCTGCTGCTATTATTTATTGTTAGAAAAAACTTGGCATTCTCCTCCAATTTCTATACTTAATTTTTTTTTTTAATATTTTAGATAAACATACCTGAAACACGATACAGGAATCATACCATGAGACCAGTTACATCATGGCTGTTGTATTAGAAAGTCTACAAAGTAGAAAGAAATTTAAATAATCTAAATATGAAATAATATAATTTGATATGGAAGATCTAAAATATATATAAAGGCTTATGGTGAAGGATAATGGAAATGCTAGGAAACTTACTTGAAATTGCATTTTATGACACTTGTATTTCTAAGTATTGATCTGTCCTATTGAACATACTTTAGCTTTTGGAGGCACACACTCAAATTTCTTTTGATATTCCCAGGCCTTGCACTATTCTTGAGGCACTAATTCTGTGTGATGTCTGTAAAAGGGCCACAAGTCCATAGAAATGTTTCAGACATCAGGTCAAATTGTCATTAATTTTTCTGAATAAATATTATTTTGTTCCTTCAGGAAATTTTAGAGCAGGAAGATTTTACTTTGATCTAGATTAGAGTATGGGTCCTTTATTTTTTTTCCTTCAGATTTCCACAAGATAGATACAAAATGCAATACTTAAGTCAGCTCTGTTCATCATAATGATTGGCTGAATTAACTTAAGCAATTCTCTTACTTGCTCTTTGCAGAGTGGAATATGAACCTTTGGTTGTCTGCTCCTCGTGTTTAGATGTAGCACAGAAAGATGCTTTAAATCAAGCCATCCAGCAGCTTGGAGGCCTTGTAGTGAATGAATGGACAAAAGAATGTACCCACCTTGTAATGGTATCAGTAAAAGTTACTGTTAAGGTATGTTGAGCTTTTGCCTGTTGATAGCATTGCTTTGCAGTTTTCCCATGACTGCTAATTAAATTCTAGACCTGTTCAAAATTTTTCTCTACAAAACTGTAGTCAACTCTTCTTTTTCCAAGTTTAGATGTGTATGTCAACATGAGGTTGAAGGGAAAGGAAACAAAAAAAGCCAGTTTTGAAGACTTAGTAATTTTCATCAGTTGTCTTCTACATTTTTGTAGCTTTAATCAAGGCACCAGTTAAAAGCTAGGCTGTTAGAAGCAAAACAATCCTCGAAGCACAAATCAGTATTGTTTTATTTGTTTGATACTTTCCATATCTTAGATCTTAAAAAGTTAATGTCAGTTGAACCATATTCTATTTGAACTTTTTCTGTGCAGTAAATTTGTATTTTCTGGTTTTTCAGACTATATGTGCTTTGATTTGTGCTCGACCAATTATAAAACCGGAGTTTTTTTCTGAATTAATCAGAGCTATTCAGTCCAGGCAACAGTTGCCAAATCATGAAAGGTAAGTTGCCAAATCATCATGTTTACTGTGTTGCAGAATGAAGTTTATGGGAGTTAGATTATCAGATAACTACACATTTATCTGATGGTTTTTGACATAATACACAATTCATAGTAATTTTATTTGTAAAGGAATGCTTAATATGATTAACATTTTAATATTCCAGCAATTTTGCTGTTCTTATCTCTACAGTTATAAAAGTAGAGCTCTGGAATTGACTCTATGCTTAGAGATGTTGCTGTCTCTGAAAAGGAACTTGTTTATTGGTATTTAAATATTGCTTCAAACGCTCCTGGGAATTGATACATAAAAATAAACAAATTACACTTTTATAAAAGAAATTATATCAACTTTATTTCATTACATAGAGATATTTTTCCTGTGTGCTGTTAGTTACTGAGTTTACTGTAAACTTTGGTCAGAACAGAGTTAGCCTCACCATTGAATTCTCTGAAATAGAAGAGGTTTTTAATTATCTATTGAGAGATGAAGTGAGACTAATGTGCATTAGCTTTTACTAAATGAGAATAAAATATTCATTGTTTTCATGGTTAAATTAACTTCAAAAGGGAATTCTTAATTTGGAGTCAATAAATACTGCAGAATAGCTCTTCTGTTTATTTTCTTGATGTAAGAAAATGTAAAATAGTCACAATATTGTATGTGACAATTTCATCTGAGCCCATATTGCTACTCATTTTACCTTGAAAAAGGAGACATTTGTGTTTTGTTTGGGGGTTGTGGTTGTTGGTTTTTTATTGTATGAACACATGGTTTATACAGGTAAGAAATTCCCACTATGTATATACATTTATATGGACATAAATATGCATGTATTTTAGGAAATGGCAATTTATTTTCTTTAGTAGGTGTGGTAGTAGCAGTTGGTAGAATAGTTTGAAGACTGAGGCTGGGTGGATGCTAATCAGCTTCTGATGCACACATGGAAATAGAAACAGAACAAGAGGATTCACAAAAAGCTGTGCTTGATATGTGGTAAAATATATTTCACAGAACATGATGCTGCCTTGTTACAAAAATGCAGATGCCAATCTGGAGCAATTGGTAGGAAATACTCCTTAGTTTCTAGATGCTGCTTTACATTAGCAGGGTTTGTGTAATATGCCAAATTAGTCATCTGTGAGTGGCTTAAAACTCGTTTGTTCTTCAGTTCCAGAAGAAAGAATCTGAATTAATTGTAACTTTCCCTTCTACTTAAACTTCTGCATTGTTTTCTGAGGATATAAGAAAAATGAACAAACTATTTAGTACTTTCTGAAATACTTTCCTGTGAGAGTTTTTGTTTTCTTTTGTAGTACAGGTCATACAAGGCATCAAAATCTAGTGATTGGTTGTACAACTTGAAATTTGTTTGGTGGAATATTACCTGGTGGTAATGCTGCTGTTCCTGTCTGTTGCAGGAACAAGTACAGTGTTGTAAGTCTTTGTCTTACAACCAGGATGTGTGTCCATTTAATACAGAAGTGACGGTATAAGTGGCTTAAGTGCTCCCTGAAAAATGTAGATGGATATGTTTACCTTTCTGAAATATTTTTGCTAACTTTTAAGATGCTGAGAGGACCTGAACTGGCTAAAAGGTGGTGACACTAGCAATATACACATTATGTAGCTTTCAAAGAGAGTTCTGCATCAAGCTAAATGAAACTGTTGATTTAATACACAGATCTATGTTTAAAATAATTGCTGTATTTTAAATAGGTCATGTTTTTGAGAAGTAGTTTGCGGGAAGGGGAAGATGCTGAAAATTTACTTAGCAACTATTTTCATAAAACTTCCAAAAATACTTGTTACTTTGACTGGGAGTCTCTATATTGTGCATTGTAGCTGGAGCTCACCTGAGCTGGTATAGCCAGAAGACATCAGACAGCTTGGAGCAATACTGGTTTGGGTGTGAAACAGGAAAAGTATATTGAGATGGCAATACTGGGTGACACTGTTAATTAAATCTTTACTATTGCTGTAGAGCTGGTCCCTCCCAAAAAGCCTAGGGAAATATTATCTTAAAGTTAAAAAGAAAAAAATAATTAAAGTGTCTTTTTGTTTACAGTTACACTTCATGTAATGGCAAACCTGCAGTTCCCATAAGAATGTGAGACTACTTGAGTTTTTTTACGGTATTACCCTAGTGCTCTGGTACTCTCTAACAACCTATGCAAGGAAGAACAATAAGTGAAGATTTCATAAATGGCTGCATGAGTGCAATCCTGAAAGAAATAACGTGTTTTATGACTGCAGGCCAGTGTCAATAGTGCAGGGCTTTGAAAAAGAAGAATAGTAACAAAATTTTTAACAGAAACTCGCCGAGAATCAAAATCTATGTATTGAGAGATTCAAGGTTGTTGAGGATCTTTTCTAGATAATGGTGTTACTGTTAAAAGCTTATGAGGCCATATATGAGGAGCACTTTAGAATCCTGACTACAAAAGACTTTTGCCTATTGAGCTTAGATCATCATTGGGTAAGAGATTATAAGGAAAACCAAAGGTTGTTTTTTTGGGGTTTTTTTTGGAGACAATCATAATTTAAAGTTGTATGCTGGAATTAAAAAATGGAGATTTAAAAATATATTTATAAAGAACTATAGTCCAGTTTCAAAGTAGTGAAAACTGTTGTTTTTCCATTTTGACTTGTCCTTTCATCTTTAAAGATGACTTTGTCCCTTGTATTTATCTTAGGTTACTGACTGTCTCTAGAGAATCCGCTATCAGAAATCTTCTGGCATAGTAACTAAAGTCTGAATTGCCCTTCTTCTGCTTGAAATTAGTAGGCTTTGTCATATCTGTTCAATTTCAATGCAATAATATTTCTGTAAACAGATTTGAACAGGCTACTGAAATACATCAAATACTCACCTTTCAAAATCTGGTGGATTTCGGTTGCCTAATTTTCATTGTGTACATAAAGGTTGAAGAATTGATTGTGAAGAACACGTAAGAATGAAGATTATTTAAAAGCACCTGTAACTATATAGCCTATTCATAACACATTTTAGCCTATCATAATTGAATTGCATATTTGGATGAAGTAGAAAATTTATGTGCTTATTTTTGTGTTCAGCTTTAAATATATGTTTATTTTTTGTGTTTGAGGGATGTTTTTCTGTTTACAAATGGTTGATTTTTTTCTGAAATATCAATATTTCAGCATTTCATATATGTCTTCCTTAGAATCTGCCAAACAGCTATTTGGGGACAGGTGGGGTATAGTTTGGTTAAAATTAACTTATTGTTTCCATTCTTTCTGACATATGCTTTCACCTTGCTTTGTCAGTACTGCTGTAGCAGTGAATATGTGGCTCAAAAATCTTCTAAGTATCTTGAAATTATTAGTTAGATGCATTTCCTAACTCCAGAGCGAGTTAGGACATGGCTCTGGGCAGGCCGTCATTAACTGGAGCTGAGGTTGCAGGCTGTGATGAAATTTAGGGCTTCAGGGTAGAATTTTATTTTTGCCTGATACATTTCCTAGCTAAACTCCTGCTCACTTTCCTTGTATTGGACAAAATAATAGAGAATCTGCAGAGTGAATCCCTTCAGTTCTGTATCCCACTAGCAAGGAAAGTGTACTTGTCTGCTGTCACGTTGTAGGCTGTTTTTGAGTGTGGTGCCACATAATTTGACACAGTGGAAGAGAATGAGGGGTGACTGTCCACACGTGGAGGGTTGAGGAAGCAAGATGATTAATTTTGTATGGAGTTTTACTATTATCTCGAGTAAATGCAGGATGAAGTTGCAGGCTCATTTGTCAGTGTTGTTAGTAAGAATGTGGATATGTGTACAGCAACTTGGGTGAATGCATTCCTAAAGTGTTTTCTTAGTTACTGAAGTAGAAAGTCTTGGTCTTATCTTTGATGATGAGAAATTGGGGACTCTGTTTCTTCTTAACAATCTCTCAAAAATTATTTATGTAAGTAGTTTTAGCAGAGAAATGCAGGATTTTAACTTCAGAACTTTACTCTTAAACAGAAAGGACTGTGAGTCAGTACTGATTTGGGAAGCTGAATTTTGTAACTTTCATTTTCTGTTCTTGCAGCTTTTATCCTCCAGTTGATGAGCCTTCCATTGGCAGCGAAAGCTTGGATTTATCTGAGCATCATGAAAGGAAAAAAATATTCAGTGGAAAAACTTTTGTATTTCTAACTGCCAAGCAGGTAATCAGGCTTTACATTGCAGAAATATTGCAGGGGTAGCTAAGTACAGACTTGTTCACTCTGAAATCACACTCATTCTGGGTTCATCAGGAAAGAAGGATTTCTGTGTATTTATCCTATGGTACAGTGGCCTAAGCAAGATAAAATGTAGAGGAGGAGCAGAACATATTTCATCTGCAGTAGTGCATCAATGAGAAGCACTACACTGATAGTTCTGTATTCTGATACCTCTGAACTGACTGCATTCTGAGTTGGGTTTTTTTTGCATTCTCTCTTTAGCACAAGAAACTGGGTCCAGCAGTTGTTCTTGGAGGAGGGGAAGTAAAGTTGATGACAGAAGGAAGAAAAGAAATGCCTTTACTACTTTCTCCTGCAGTCTGTGTAGTTGATGTGGGTTTGGCAAACTCTCAGCTCTCAGGATCTGACTCTGTGACAAACTGGACTGATTCCATTCTGACTGACTTGGAAAGGTGCAGCATTGTTCTCTTGTACAGCGGTAGGGTAACTTCAGAACTTCTACAGAGACTTGGTCATGGTGTTTACATATATATTTAAGCAGGAGGCTGCTTATAAAGAGGGCATTTTTACATTGTTCTAAGTATTTGGCAGAGTAACTAAAACTTCTTGAAGCAGAAAGAACTTGGCAGTTCCGTGAGGATTTGATGGGATTCCTGTTTTCTTCTCTTTTCATTATTTTCCTGTAGAACTCAGTTCTAGAAAAACTCATCATAATGAAGTTGCTTTAAAATGACAGACAGCAAGTAGTTTCTCTTCTACTATTTAAAAGAAGTTAAAATTAATATATTCTAAGAATTCAAAATAGATAATTCATGATATTTCATTGATTATATGTATTTCATCAAAAGAAGGTGAGATGGCACCTTGAGGTCATGTGGTTCACTGTTATTTAATTATTTGTATACAGAGTTTTTGAAGAACAGCTTTTGTTTAATGAAAATTATTTTTTGTTTTGGTGGTAGGTTTTGTTTGAGGAGTCAAACTGCATATATTATGTTAGTATTATCATTATGCCATTTTATTAAAACGGTGAAACAAAATCCCAATCCTAACACATAAACCTAGTTCCCCTAAATTTTCCTGCTAGGTAGAGAAGACAGTACTCAATCTCTCCTCTTGACTGTAGTACAGAAGATTTGAGGGGGAAGAGTGCCTGACTTTTAAGAAGTGGTCAGATCTTTCAAGTCTCTTTTCACACATTTTTGAATCAGAGGTAGAGCATAATTGGTTAAATGCCCAAAAATTAGGAAAGTAGAGATATATGGGCCAGATTACTGGAGCTAGACAGTAGCTACAGCAGCAGGAAACATGGGAGTTTGTACATATGGGACATGGCTCTAGTGAAGGGTAATTGTGCTGACTTACTGTATTGGGAAAAACAGTAGTGTTTTTTGGAGGCTGATTTTTTTTTTTTGGAGGAGGAATGGAACATTTTGTACTTTGCCATACTTGTGGTCATTTGCCTGTTTGTCTTTGAATCTGTACTGAAAAGCTTTTTTTTTTTTTTTTTTTTTTTTATTTTTTTTTTTAACAAAAAAAAAAAAAAAAGAAAGACCCCTTTTTTTTTTTTTTTTTTTTAATTTATGTATTAACAGCAAGAATCTTAGGGCTATTCCAGAGGCAGAAATTGGATTGGCAGTTATTTTCATGTCTACAGAAAAATACTGCAACCCTCAAAAGCAGCCTGCTTCCAAAGGTAATTGGAAGGGTAGTAATAAGTTAACAGCCTCAAAGAGGCAGTATTTCTTTTTGTGTAGGAGTATCAGTTATGATGTTCAAGTTGTTCTGTTTTGCAAAACCATTTAAAAAGAGTGATATTTTATGAAAAATGTATACAACTCCAAAGAGGTAATTGGTTTTTAATGGTCTTGCTGTAAATTGCAATGAAAATATGATTCTTAGATGTAAATAAAAAAGTGGATCTAAAACTAGCCTAAAAGGCAGACACATAGAACAGTCACCTTGAAAAGAAAGATACTTTAAAAACATCTGAAGTTCATATTTTTGGTGACCACTGAATTCATATGTATGTGGTAGTTTGAATTCCATGCTGTTCTGTCTTTTCATAAAAGACTGGAGTAATCAGGAAGTTAAAGATGAATTTCAGAAATCAAGAGAATAAGAATGGAAATAATTTGTTCAGGCTTGCATTTTTTTCTTTTTTTGCCCTTTGCTCTAAACAGAATTTGCTTTAGGAAAGTACAGACACCTCCTGCTCAATTCAAAACTTAAAATAATCTTTCCATAAGTTGAGACAATGAGACATGATCACCACATTTGCTGAAGTAGTAGTTTGGGAGTAGTTCCAAGTCTTGACTTGAAACTTGTATTTGCTAATGTGGTAATGACAAAAGTCTTTGAGAGACAGAAAGAGGTTTTGTTTGTCTCTTTTCATACCTCTTCATATTATTCTATATTTTGTTGCTATGAAATTTTCAGAATTAGGTTTTATAGAATTATGTGTATGTTTATGTTTTGTTCTATAAAATGTTGTATCAGGTAGAATATCCTACCATTATTTTAAAAATCGAAGAAAAAAAACCCTGAGTTTGTCTTTACATGCAGGAACATGACTTACTTGAAAATGTATTTTGAATAAAGACATATATGCAGTACTGGCAGAGGTGCTGATTCTTGTTTCCAGTCTGAACAGTTCAACTGGAGAAAAGTTAAGTTGTCTGAAATTGTGTAAACAGACTGTATATCAGACTTTAAAGGGGAGCAGTGTTTAAAATTGGAAAAACCTGTATCCCAGATACAAGAGATCATCATACAGGAGTAAATATAGGGAATTTTGTGCTCTGACAGTTTTACATGATCTATATATTGTATTATATTATTTTAATTTTTGCATAAAATATATACCACATGATTTTTAAGTACATTATGTACATACTGGTATATGATTTCTCATTATGCTCCATTTTTATTTGAGCAGAATTTCATTACTTAATCAGTAGATTATTTAACTAAATCTGTATTCCAGAATATGGTCCTTTATAACTGTTTCTGTCAGGGTTTTTTTAATTAATAAATCTGCTTATTTTTTAATGAAAATTGCTTTAAGATCATTTTACAAAGATCTCATGTGATGAGATAGTAATGTGCAGTAGCACATGCAAAGGAACACAGATTTGATATTAACCTTCTAATTCTTCTCTTGTGTTGGTCCTGCAGCTGTAGCTGCAAGTTCTGCATCAGCTGTCGTAGGCCGAGCCATTTCCCAGAGTCCGGCTGTGGATGAAACCATCATGCCAACTGCTGCAGATAGCAGCACCTTATACATACCTGATACAGAAGAGCAGACATGGTAAAGTATTCATGGAAATTTCTAAGCTAATACTTGCAAATAAAGCAGTCTTTTATGGCAAAGGAACTGTATCATTGCCATGGGGAAAGATACACAGAGTTAGAAATTGTGGTAGTTTCTGGGGTCTTCGATGATGGTGGAAAGGAAGGAGTCTGACTCCATGTTCTTAGAAGGCTAATTTACTATTTTATGATATTATATTATATTAAAGAATGCTATACTAAATGATATTAAATAATAGAGAAAGGATACAGACAGAAGGCTAAAAAGAATGATAATGAAAACTCGTGACTGACTCCTCAGAGTCCAACACAGCTGGCCATGATTGGCCATTAAGTAAAAACAATATACATGTTGGATAAACGATCTCCAAACCACATTCTAAAGCAGCAAAACACAGGAGAAGCTGAGGCCTCTCAGCTTCCCAGGAGAAAATTCTGGGCAAGGAGATTTTTCAAAAAAATATCACAATGACAAGAAATGCCATGCACTAAATTGCTGTCACTTGTCTGCAGTGAGATAATTTCTGCTTTTGAGTACTAGATTACAGAAAGCATCCCATAGGATTTAGATGACATTCAAATGTATTTGTAGATACTGCATATCTGTCTTGACTGTCTGAACTGTTAAAAATTTTCAAGGCATTTCACAATTATAAAAATTATTGATCATAGCAGGTTTCACAGTTTGTTTTTAGCACATTGTTTATACAAGTTTATTCAAAGTAGAGGTATAGCTTTTTTAAAAACTGTATCTCTGGTAACCTCCTGTGTGTCATTTAGTATTTCTTTCCTCTCTAATCTAGCATGGAGATAGAGAATACTTCCCAGGTGCATAGACAAAGGAAAATGGCTTTCCAGGATACAACTGGAAAGAAAAACAGTGGCACAAGTAGCAGTGTAAATGCAGGAGCATCGATACCTAGAGGGAACAGAACATCTGGGCTCAGTCAAAGAAGTCAGCCTGTCTCACCGTCTAAAATTCTAGAAGCTGGCAAACCTCGTGAGAGTGCTTCACGTCACCAGTCGAACTCAATTATGAATTACTTTCAGGTTTCTAGAAAAAGGTACGTTGAAATGTTCTTGACATTACTTCCCTTACTGATATGTTCATGGTGTTTCTGGAAAATTTTAACTCAAGCAATGTACTTTAAATCTGACACATGCTTAAAAAGGTAGTTTTTAGATCAAATTCCTAGAATGGAAAGTTTTTCCTTAAGGGCACTTTAAATTTCACAATGCAGTCCCTAAAACCCCAGAAGCTGTTATGTTGTGGGTACAGGTAATCATACTCAAAAATGCTTTTGTAATGTCTTTCTTTTGTAATTTATTTCTGACTAAGGGAAAGAGCTGAAGAAGAAGAAACATCTGTACCTAAAATAGCAAAATTGGAGGAAAGGTCATCACCTCTTCCCAAGTGCACTGATTCCACAACTTCATTGATCTGCAACAGTGAAGCAAAACAGAATCAAAAGAAAAATAACATCCTTGAGCCAAACCCAAATTTTGCAGAAGACATGGGTATAAAGCCTGTGAGGGAAAGTGTCAAACTAACAAGTGATAGAACAGACACTAAAACCACTTCTAGTGAAAATCATGCACCAAAAAAGAGAAAGGAATTAGATGATTTATCTAAAGATACAGAAGCACTAGAAATTGTGTTTGGAAGTGGAGACATAGACTGGGAAGATCAAATGGTAGATCATGACCAGGAAGCTCAAAGAAGTAAACGGAAAAAACAATGTTTGGAAGCCAAAGGAAGCAGGATTCCAGAAGTAAATGTAAATCAGCAAGAGGAGAATAAAGTATTGGTAAGTTTTATGTTCTTCTCAGGTGCCTAATCTTGAAATTTGCAATTTTGTGGGAAGGATGCAATTACAGCTCCTTGAGGGAGGAGGTTGCCTACATGCAGAAAGTAGCTCTGTAAAATTTGTTTGCTTAAATCTCATACATGAATTTTTAGTTCAGAATAATTCATCTTTTGCATGTGAACATTGCATTTACACCCACCTAAATGTTTTTTTATTCTCTGGGCATTTTTTTCTTTGTTTATTGAAAGCTGCTTGTATTCTGAACTTTTCCTCTTTTTTTTTTACTTTATATACTGTACGTAGAATAGGAGAATATATCCCTGGTCCAAGAAAAAATTCTTATAATGTTTGTTGCTGTGTTAATGGCAATATTGTTATTTATACTAAGATAGTATTCAATTATATTTTTGTAATTAATTTTCTGAAGAAACTTATAGCTGATCTCTTCTGTTGAATACCACAGTAGTGTCCAACATCTTTTTGAGTCTTCTGATATTGTGTGAAAGATTATTAAAATTCCTGTATGAGAAATTTTAAACCAAAACAAACTAAAACAACAGCAAAACCGAACACAGCTTGTGTTTTTTTGATTATTTTTCTGTTTTTGTTTTTGACACTAAGGAAATTTTCTAAGACATATGAAGAAAACAATACACCTTGAGTTAACAGTGGTCACTTTGTTGAAAAAAAAGCAGGTTTGTAAAGGAAGACAATGTTGAGAGGTCTAGAGTATTAACAGTACAATAAGAATAAGAGAAGAAGGGTTTTTTTAATTTATTTGGAATATATATTTTAGTGCTTACTGTCCAGTCCATTTACAGAGTAGGCAGTGTTTAAATTCTTAAAAGTTTGAATGCATGATTAACTGGAATTTGCAAGATTCCTTGGACCACATAAGAATTTGTAATGGTTTATGCATCCTTAGGTCAGACCAGCTTGACACCTTATTGATGCTTTACTGGAGCTTCTAGCAAAGTGTGAACTTGAACTTCATTGTAATGCTCTTTTCTTGTGTGTGTTACTACCAGGCAAACTTTAAAAGACAAGTTCTATAATTTAGAGAATTTTGTTTCTTGATTTTTATACTATCAGACAGTCGGTACTTTTTATTAGGTCTGAGCATACTGACAGACTAAAACTGGTGCTTGGAATAGTCTATTGAATTTGTTGCTTGGTGCTTGGAAAGTTTTTCTAGTCTAACTTCTTGTCAGGATTCTGAAGGAGAAAAATAATCTTATGGGCAACTAAACTGGTACTTTAGCAGATAAATATGCACTTAAAGATTTCTGCTGAAAAGAAGTCTTTTCATAGTTTAATAATGACCTACTTTATTAATGTAAATGGACTAGGAAGGAGATTTCATGATAAAGCTCCCCAGGCAAATTTGATAACTATTTTCTCTAAGTATAGATGCACCTTGTGTATCTGGCAAGACAAAGAATGTGAGTAATTGACTCAAAACCTTCAAGTTGCATAAAGCTGATTTGGTATTTTATGAACCACTGAAAATAATTTATGTAATGCAAATCTAGTTTTAAACTATAGGACATAATCAACCTGCAGAACACTTTCTTGTCCTGGTAATGAAATGTCCTGTCTGTGCACATGTACACTTCAAGTATCAAATTGAAAATGCTACTCTTGAATATAACAAGCTTTTACAGTTTTCCAGAGCCTGCCAGAACTTTGAAGATTATACAGATGGACAAAACTTCCTAGTGTGTAAGGAAGAAGGAAAAAACCACAAGTGAACAAATAGTAGTGATGTTTTAATAGAGGAAAATCTCCAACAATTGTTACAGTGTGCATAAAATCATAAAAATATTAAAGTACAGGGCAGTTTATTTCCTGTCTAAAAACTTATATTGATTTGAATATATTTATTCTACCATAAAGAGCAGAAAACAATTCTGTGTAATTAAATTTCCATTTCATTTCAGTTTTATATTTAAAATAATTTTTAATCAAATAGAAAGAAGAGGATCTTGGATCAGTTCTAACTTCAGAAATGAAAAGTAATATCAAGCAAGAGTCTCCAGTCTTGGTAAGGAGCCAGCTAATTGTAAGTTTGAACAGCAAACTTTAAGAAGCTTTACAAAAACACATCAAATTTTTGCTCTTAATAACATAGTATTTTTGGATGCTGTTTCAGGGTAAAGGAGGTTTGGAGGGTTGTACTCCTTAACATAATCATATGTAAATTTGAATAGTGCAGTCCAGCTTGTAGACTGTGGAAAAAAAGTAGTTCACCTCTGTGCTTCTGTAATGGCATTTGGGTGGATACTTAAAGGTGACTGAAACTACGTGTAATTGTATTAACTCCTCAATATGGTTAATACTTGTACTGATGATTTTCTTAGATTACTACTTAAAGACCTGCCAGGGATGTAATCTTGTCTGCTGTAAGATCACAACTAAAAGGGAAGAGATGGAGCATTGGGAAAATAGATGTCATGTACAGTGATTAACAGTAGATAGTGTGCTAGTTTTTTTGTAGGTGAGATGAAGGAAGGAAGGAGAGGAGAGTTGCTTGGGGTGGCAGGGAGGCAGAGGAAAAGGAGACTGGGCTGAATGAAACTGAAATAAAAGAATTCTGAAGAGATAGAGTGTAGCCAGTCAGCAAGGAATAATACCATTTCATCTACATACAAAAAAAAAAACCAAGAAGAGGGAATGCTCAGCAGTTATACCAAAGTGCAGGGTCAGCTCAGATTAAAGGACTTCTGGGTATGTTTTACAATAAAACAGCTGTTCTGCATCTGAGCTGGCACTGTCCTTGAACATAGTTTAATGTTACTTATGAGCTTGTCCTGCTCCCAGATTCCTTTGGAATCCACATAGATATAGCCCTAGGCAGCAAAGTGTGGATGCAAACTTGCTGGCATATGAGCATGCTCATGGACAAGAAAAATTTGATATATTAATCAAATTCAGCTTACAGCCCTAAATTTGTAGGCTAGAATTATCTGTAGGCTAGAATTGAGCTGAAAATGTTCAACTTTGTCTGCCATGCAGCATTTAAATATGTATTTAAACACAAGCAAAACAAATTTACTCTATTCATGGTATATTAGGAGACTGAGAAGTTCATACATCATCTTAGCTTGTAGCACTGCTGCTGCTTTCCCTCACTGTTTTGTAATTCCAACTTTTACTTAGATCTGCTCAGGATAATTTCTCTACAGTTTGTGCTGTTAGACATGCTGTGTGTCTGTTCTGTACTTGAATGCTTCTTCCTTTTTCATCCCACATAAGAACCACAGCAAACTGCAAGATGACTCCAGCAATCTTCCTAGCAGGCTTCTGTTGACGGAGTTCAGATCACTGGTTGTCAGCCATCCAAGACAGAACAGTCGTCTCTCTGGAAATACCAGCTATGGGGGAAAGAAAAATTTCAAAATGTTCAAAAAGGTTAGTGTGTTTTTTGAATGGTCACAAGATGGCACTATTGAAAAATACTAAAATGTGTTGCCTTCAGACTGTAGAAATATGTTACTAAAGATTGTTTTATAAATTGATAATAACTAAAGAAAGAAACAATTTAAATACCATATTATGCTGTAAACAGTATTTTGTTAATTGACTGAAGAAGTACTAGTTCACAAAGACTTACCTTGTGCTAGATTATTTAGATACTTACACACTCTTTATTCCAAGCTGTTACTTGGAATAAGTTGTTAAGTGATAGCTACCATAACTGCAGGTTGTACATCCAAAAGCTAGCAATACCACTTCTCCAAAGACCTATATATACACCATAGAGTGACTCAGAGTCTTCCATTTTAACTAATAAATCTTGGATTTCTAAATAGAACTAAATCTGTATCATACAAAAGTAAAACGATTGCTTGCTTGGGTCCTGAAGACAATTGCAAAATGATTCTTAGTGTTAAGTGTAAAAGTACCACTTCAGCTTATATTAAAAATAAAATAAAAAGAAAAATCATGGGGTATGAGATCCTAGAAAGGCATTTCAGTAAAATTCTATGTATCGAATGTGATTACATAATACTGCTTCCTGGGAGTTTGCTCTCATTTTTAGATAATGTTTTAATTTTCTGATAATAGTTTCTTATCCACCATTTTGTAACAGAAGCTTATGCAGTCTGAGAGTAAAATAGAAACGGATTTTTATTGATATTTCAGTCTCCACTTAATGCACTATGAAATTTATTTATTACATTTAACTTACCAGATGTATTTTTGTTTGTTTCTTTTGGTAGCTTTCTGTAAATGCTTTTTTAACTTCAGTGACTTTTAAATATGATCTTTGAATATTAATCAAAGAAAGACTGCCTGACTTTCTTCTGTGATGTCTGAATAGACTTTCTGAATTTGTTAAAATAGATATTTTATTTGCAATATGCTTGCCTTGTAGTTGTAAGAATTTATTGTCCAACAGGTAGCTTACCCTGGGGCAGGACAACTTCCACACATTATTGGAGGATCAGATTTGATTGCTCACCATGCTAAAAAGAATTCAGAGCTAGAAGACTGGTTAAGGCAAGAAATAGAGGTAAGAAATTAGTTTTTAAACATGATAAAATAAAAACTTGACTAATGTAAGTGGTCATACCAACCTGTGATCATTACTGGGATACTTCAGGAGTTTATTTTTTAAATAAAACCTCAGCTCGTTAGTCGTCCACACATGCTCATGGGAGCATGTACAGTAGTAAAATTACTGAATGTCAGAGGTCAGTGGTAACACTCATCTTTTTCTGGTTATTTAAATTCATTTTGCATGCAACACTCATGTAATCAGAAATACTTGTAGAAAGTAAATCAGTAACCTAAATGAGAGCAATCTTTTGATGAGTAAAATAAGCGCTACGTAAACTTGTGACTTGTAAAAATGTGACAGGGAGCTAGAAAGAATTTCTATATGGCTAACTGTGTTCAAATAGTTTTGCAGTACAGTTGATATTCTACTCTTGAATAGAACAGAAAATGCATGAGTAAAACTGTTGGGGTGTACTGAAGAGATGTAGTAAGAATAAATTTAGTATTTTTTCTTTTGTGCACTTCTTTAGATATAGAAGTCCTAAAAAAAATCACTTATTATGGCAGTTGTTTAGCACTTTCATTTTCCGATTGTTTCCTTACAAATACTTGCTGATGAGTCACATTATTTCCTGAGCCTGATTGCGGTGCAGTTGCATCAGCACTTCTTATCTCATTTTTTAATCCCTGAATATAGATAATGCTAATTAAAATTCCCCTTATATGCAAACTTCCAAACTTCTGACCAAAACTGACACTTTTCACAAACTATGCCATTTCATTACTTGGTAGCAGTAGCCAAATTTGGGTAGTGAAATAACTCATCTAATGTGGATATGCACTAAACAGAATACTTAGAGAGAACTTACTTCTTTGGGAAAAATTCTGTTAGTGCAGAAATACTGTTTTTCTAAATGGTTAATTGGAATTACCCTTAACAGTCAAATATTAAATAAACTTTCTCAGGAACAGAACAGACATGCAAGAGAAGAATCACTTGCTGATGATCTCTTTAGGTAAGAGTTTTATGTTTGTGCTTAGAAAAATGTGTATTTTTGCATCACATCTTTTTTTTTTTACAAATTTTGATTTTGGAAAAGATTACTTTGACTATTCTTTACAAAATTTCATGTATTCTCATATATAGAATGTAGTCAAAGTGGTTCATCAGTTTCTCTGGGAAAAAAGCCAACCTATTCAGGCTTCATTTAACGTGGAAAATAAGAGGAGGTGAGTTGGAGGAGAAAACATGAAAAGATGTTCATGACTGTCAGCATCTCTCTAGCCAGTCACAGACAGGGTTGAAGCTGCCGTTGTATTGATGCGAATTTCCATCATGGATCATCTCCTACTCCTATCTGCTTTATCTCCCCACTCCTCCCCTGCCCATAGAACCCATATCCAGTCCATAGAATCTTCCATAGAATTTGCTGTCCAGAAGACATTTAAGCATTGGAAAGAACATGTTACAATGCTATAACAGTAAAATCAAATAACTGTTTTGAGAGTTAATAGGGTCTCATTTTGTTTAGCAAAAACTTCATTACTTTCTATGTTTTTTATGTGAAGAAACAAGTGACCAGTGTTTGACTTCTCACCTCTCATGAATTTGAGGAACACCAAAAGTTGTGCATTTGAGTAGAAAAATGTATATGGTGAAGAAGGATTTTTTTTTTCTGAATCACTGTCAAACAAATATGATTTTGTATATCAATACATGTTAGGACCATTCAGAAAATCTTACTGCATTATCAACTTGCTTTGTTCATTAACAGTTAATAATGGAGCATTTTTTTCAAAGGGTATACATTTAATTGTTGAAGGCTGAATTGTATAGCAACAACAGTGACTTCTAATACCTTTCTAGATATGTGGTGATGTAATTTGGCTCACAAGTTGTCACATTTTTCTGTCTTAGCATAAAGTTTTGATGAATTACTTTAGTGGAAGTAAAACTGCCTGATCATTCAGTTATGTCTGTAAGTTAGTCATGCATGAATACAAAACACATCAGAATTTCAAAGAAATGACAGGAGTTTGGGAGATGAAGCACAAATGGAGAAGGCCAAGGGATAGCAAGTAGATGTCAAGATGTGTCAAACTCAAGATGTCGAGTCAAACTATAAGCATATTGCAGTAAATCAGGTAACTATTTAGTATATCCAGAAAGTAGGTCTAAATTTCTAACAGTCAATCAGAAGTTGTATAAAGGGCAAGGTAGGGCAAGGATCTGCTTTATGTAGGAGTAGGAAGCAGCAGAAAGGTTGTGTCTGAATGAGTTGTGGTCAAATGTACATCAGCATAAACATACAGCACCCCTTTTCCCTCCCTCCTCTTGATTCTTGTAGTGTCCTTTTCCAGTAAAGAGCTTAGTGTTGGGACATTAAAGGCTTGGAAAGCTTGGTCATGCATCAGATTTAAAGGTTGTAAGTAGTTACGAAATCTGAAAATTTCATTAACAGTTATCTTAAGTTATTACAGAGGTTCTTCTATCTTATGCATCTTTCATTCAAATAGTAGTAACTATAGTTAATTACAGGAGTGTAGTCGGGGAAAGGACTGAATACTGGCGATTCCCTTATTATGAATATGTAATAAAGCTGTTTGCATCACCTTGTATATCTGTATAAACTTTGAATATCATTATTTTACTTAATTGTGACAGATTTTATTTTTTTGTTGCAGGTATGATCCTAATGTGAAAAGAAGAAGATAAATTGTGATCTGGATTTACAGTGTTTCTCTGGCAAAACCTGCTTTCTGTTCCTTAAGTTTCCTGATTACAGTGTATATGATGTTCCTATATATGACCATTTGAATATCTCTTATTGTAAGACATGTTTTCTAAGTCTTGCTTTTATTAAAAAAAGAGAAAAGTTCCTTTCACTGCTTGGTACTTACAGATTGCACCATTGTCAAGACCTTCCCATTATTCACTTCAGAGTAATGCTCAGTAAAATACTATAGATACTTAGGATTTCATTTTAGACTATTTCTAATGTTTGGTTATCAGTACTGTTTTGGGAAAAAAAGAAAGTTGCCATCAGGCCATTTTTTCTTTTTTTCAGAAAGCCTTTGTTAATTAGGTAATTTCAAAGGTATCTTAAGAATTGAAAATCTGTTGAGGCTGAGATTCAACTGGTGTTTGATCATGATATGATAGGGTTGATAAGATATGATCGTTATATGATTCATAATGAACCACTTCTCTGTGGTTCATTTTATAGAGCATATTACTGGTACAGAATATCTTGGAACTGAAAAAACCAGCTTATTTTTCTCTTGCTTAAACATATTTTCATTTACACCTTTAAATTAGTGTGATTGAATATTCATTTGTTAAAACCTACTTCCAAGCCAGACAAAGTCTTAAAGAGCTGTGACACCGGAATTTGGAATTTGAAATTATATGACCCATTTCTTTCTTTTATACCTTTACTTTTTGCAATCACTGTGTAAAAATACGGCCTTCAAAATAGTTCGATTGACTGAGAAAGCTATGAAACAATTCATAGCTTGTGGATTAGGAGAGCGCATCTTAATGATCTGAGAATTGCAATTAGTGAGATTACGCTGGAAGTACAGTGAGAAACTTTCCAGACTTCCTGCTCAGGTGTATGAAGTCTGTCTCACACACAGATAGAGATGGACAATAGCTCCATTGCATCCTGTTTCAAGGGGGAGGATCTCCTTCCTCATGTGAGGAAGTAATCCGGTTGATGTAATTGAATTGGTACAGAGTCACTCCCTCTGCCAAGAGCTCTGAGCATACAATCAACATGAGCTGCACCCTTTGAAGGGGCTCCGTTGTGTATCAGATGTGAGGAACAGCATTGTGGGATCTGTGCATGTGAAGATAGCAGATGTGCTGAAGTCATCATGGTTGCAACACGCAGAAAAAAAACTTGGCCTTCCAAAGCCAGTGTTTTCTTGGGTCTGTCTTGGCATCTTCTTGCTGGTCAGCAGTGTCCAGAGTGATACACAAAGTGCAACCCAATACTTCTGAGCTCCACAAAAGCCGTGAGAGTGTTTGCTTCAGGGCACGTCAAATCTTATCCACCAAACACCTTTGAAAAGACTTAAGCAATTCTTAAGCAGTTGAAATTCTTTCTGAAGGGGATGTACTGACTGTTCTATCCTCAGGTGAGTTTTTCTGCTATCACTGTGAGAATTTCCAGGTTTTCTGGCTGAAGACCTACTGGTCCAACAGCTCTTGTAGACTGCTGAGGTTTTGGATTGTTGTTACTCAATTCAAGCGAATAGTTTGGATAGCAGTGTATCAATGGACAAGATTCTTCAGAAAGGTTGTGTTTACAGTTGTAAAAAAACAGCTGGAGAATTTCTGAGGTGAAAGGACAATACATGCAATGTATAGGGGCCTTCCACAACAACGACTAAGTCCTTTGCTGCTCAGACTGCAGTCTGCTAGGGGCTCAAACAACCCTGGTGGCATAGCTGAGAGCACTCTTGTTCATGTTTTATGATTTAGGGCTCTTCAAATCCAGTTTCCCAGACAGCTGAATTTACCAGCTTTGATACTTATTTAAAAAATTTAGTATTTAAGAGTTGTGGGTCCCTTTCAGCTCAGAATATTCTAGGATTCCAACTTGAGGGTGCCAAGTAGGTGATATAATTTGGTTTGTAATCCAGTTTCAGCTGCTGTCCAGTTGATGAAAAGCCTACACATTAGTACACCTGAGCTTCTGCTATATCAGTACGAAGTTAGGCTTGCGTTAAAAAGCTTAAACATATAAACCCCTTAACCATGGCTTTAATTGTAACACCAAATTCGTGTAACAAGTCCTATTCATTATTCTGAAGTCTTCCTTCCATTTTAACTTATTTTTGTCATGATTTTCACCTCAGTACATTAGACAAAATATACTTGTTTGCTTACTGGTTTGGTCTGTTACTGGAAGTTTCTGAGGTAGAGGGAAAGGGACATAATTACATGATCCAATAAATTTCAATTTCCAATAAATTACATCAATATCTGCCTTATCCCTGGAGCTAGTGCATTAACTTCACCTGGTGTTTCCTTTATGGTATAGAACATACTGTTGTAGGCTAACCCCAGTAGGCAGCTAAGTCCCACGCAGCCACTCACACACTCCCCAGCAGGATGGGAGAATCGCAGAATCAGAAAAGAGAAGGATGGAAGGCTCATGGGTTGAGGCATTTCTACAGGTAAGGCAAAGGGTATGAGCATAAGCAAGGGCAATCAACTTTGCATCCTGCAGTTCAGAAATTTTGCTGCGTGCTCTGTTTTCACTGTGCAGCTTGTGCTCTGGTTTCAACCATTCAGTTTATGGGAGAGCTTGTTTGGTGCTGCTTTTCTTTGGGAGTTTCAGTAAATCAGAGAAGGTATCTAAGGTTTCTTTCATCTGCCACACACTCATGGTCTGCAAGTATACGCACCTTTTTGACAAAGTTATGCTCTTCACAAAAATAAATCTAAGCAGAAACTTCAGATCTTGTTACATTTTTTTGTGTGTAACAGTTTGAGGGTTTGTCTGGAATGTGGTTTTTTTGTAACATTTAATGCTTTTGTTCACACTGCTTACAGGAAGGAGATGCACACAATATATAAACTAAATAAACTTTTTATTAGCAAGGCTCTTAACATACAGTCTTGCATTCAGCAGCTTAGCTGATGAAAACAGTTTAAAGCAGGTTGAATCACTCTAGATACTATTAAAACTGTGGATAGGTGCTGTATCCCTGCATAAAAACATGTTTAATTTTCAGTTTAACTCACACCAATCTCAGCTGACTTCCCACTTTCTACATCAGCTGGGGAAGCCACAGGTTTGGGTTTTTTTCAGAGAAGACTAACAAGATATTTGCACTGTTGAAGTGTGATTTCTATTTCTGTCCATTCACATCTATGAGTCTGTCCTTTTTTCTCCTACCCTTAACTCCCCCATCTTCTCCCAGAATGGTGGCGGTTGTGCGTCAGGGCTGGCCTCTCCTTTGTCATAGCACCAGTTCCTATATGTGGAAACTGCAGTCAGCTTGAGTTCCTCCATCCAGCCACCTCCCCATCACCTTCCTCTGAAATGCCAAGTCCCTTCCTTGCCTTCATTCCTGATGTGTGGTAGGCTCTATTCCATATTAAATCCTAACTGAGACTGAATCCTAACTGAGTAGCTGAAGCTTCTACTGTAGACCTACCTCTAACCCACTCACCCATCTTGCTCCAGTCCATGGTATACAAATGATTTCTCAGTCCTGTCTCTCCCATAAAACTGGAGGGAGTCTTGCACCTTCTTCTCTTGTTTTTTTCCATTTCTTGAATCAATTGTCAGTCACATTTGGCCACATCTGGTTTGAGTCACAAATTCCCAAACTGATTTTTACTTGATTTTCAAATCCCAACTGTGATTATGTTGTTTTGGTATCTCCTTAGAATTCAAGCCAAATGTGCCAAAAAAAATGAACCCTCTTCCTTACCGTTATTTCTCCCTCTTCCTCTTGCAAACTTTGATCACCACCATCATCACATTCCAGTGAGATAGTTACAAAAATGCTAAAAAATGAACCCTCTTCCTTACCGTTATTTCTCCCTCTTCCTCTTGCAAACTTTGATCACCATCATCATCACATTCCAGTGATGAATGGAATGAACACAATATCAGATATCCCTGACTAGCAGCTCTGTCTACCACTTGCTTTAGCGCTCTGCCCACACTGCTCTGCCGCAGCTTTTACTACTGTAACCTCTGTCAGTCATTGGTTTCAGTACCAGATCCATGCAAAACACCTTCTCCCTCATTCTGAACACTGAAGCTCTCTTTTCCTCTGCAGTTTGATCTTTCATTTGACTTGAGTTCCCTACTTCTCAAAATCAAAATAACTGACTTCTAGGTGACACTACTTTAATTATTTTGCCTTCAGTCTGTAATCAGTTTTCACAGATTAAGATTAAACAAGCCTAGCATGCAACCACAGGAGTATTTATCGTCTTGATTCTTAAAAAAGAGATCAAAAGAGAGGTTTTGCTCACAAATTGCTTACCGAAAATGTTCTGTACATGTTTACACTGCTCATCTTAAAAAAAGTATGATGCAAGCATACTCCGGTGAAAGATGAAAACAGGCACTGCCACACACAACGAAATGATATTTACACAGTATCTCCAAGTCCAGGTGTGTTTTATGTGAGCAAACATAGGTAGATTAATATAGTCCTTTATATAAGTTCAAACTGGAATTCCAGCATAACAGGTCTAACAGAAATGGGCAAGGTCAGAGTATTGACTCAGTAAATTGTGCCAAGGAGATGTAAGGTAGCAGGATCAGTTCTTGAACAATAGCTCACTGTTCACATAGCAGCTGGTCCTAGCATCCACACTGATGAAAAATATTCATGTATCTAGTTAATTAACAAACTAGAAATGCCGGGATTCTATAGTATTTTGTGAATACATAGCAAACCTAGTTAATTTTCTTTATGCTGTCATGTAAGTCTCCAGAGGGTGTCTAGGGACATAAACGTCAATTTTAGTTTATTGAAGCATTCACTGTAGGCTGGTACTTACACATTGCTCATAATAAAGAGATGGAGGAGGGAGACGCAAATTAAGAGTTACTGAGCCTTCAGAACAAGTTGTTTCCTGGTTTTGATGACTACTGATTACATATAGGTTTTAAGAGTTGGTTTATAAAGCCCTGAAAGTAGAAATTTTCAGCTAGAAAATGACCTAACATGCAGACAGGTATAATATGAACTCAAGGTCAAGGTATGCTTGAGCTGAAATGTTCTAGTGTCTATAGACAAAACCATCTTTAGAACAGCACCTAGATTCACTATAGCTACTAAATAACACTAGAAATTCTTTTCACCCTGCCTACAATCCTTGTTCCTTACACCAAATTCATCCTTGACCACACACTTCTCGTTGTAATTCAAGCTTCAAAAAGAAATTAAAACTGAAACTCCCAGTGTGCCATATTCCCAAAAGTACAGTTTCAGAAAAAGAGCTGTTTATAATTCCTTACTTCAGGTTTGTACCTCTAATGTCATCAAAGCCTTTCTTTTTCTGTCAAAGATGCGTCAATTTCCATTCTTTTTGCTAAGTAAAATCAACTGCTATAGTTATTTCAAAAACTTTTCTTTCAGGTTGGGCAAGGGAAAATGGGGAAATATTTATACAACAAGCTCTCATGTCTATGGAGTGTTCCTGTCTTGCTCTCACTCTAAAAGAAGAACCCAAAAATTATGACAGAACACTGTTATTGCAAGATTCTAATGCATTTTCTAAATTAAGATGTAACAGTATAAACCTTTTGGCATTTTTGGTTCCCTAACTTACTCAAAATTAACACATCACTATATGGACAGTAATAAAATCAGCTGCCTTTAAAGCATATGTGTGCTACCTCTTCCTGTTTAGAAATCTCTGGGAGCACTGTCAAGATCCTGCTATTACAAAAAGATACCCGCTTGCTTTTCAGAAGTAGAAACTGTGGTAGCAGAGTAACAAAGCCTTATTTCTTGGCACCCCACGTCGCTGATCCAGTCCTACAGCTTCGTCAGCAAAGACAATTTCACACACATTGCATCGTGTCCACTTGAGTTAACGGCCAGTTACAAATCCCTGGCCGGGTGTTGGATGAACAGCTCCCGTGCAGAGCTCTTGTCACAGCCCCCATCTCCCCCAGGAGGATGGGACACCCCCAGCCTACTGACACTTCAGCACCTGTATGTCTGCGCTTCACACTGCACACGTTCTGCACAGCTTTCCTCCCATCAGCCCTCACTGGTCATCACTTGTCAGCAGCAAAGACTCACCACAAGTTTGCAAATTTTACTCCCTTTCATTCTCTTTTAAGAGCATTTGGCCTAAAAATGGTCTTTCCTTTCAACAGGGTATGCAGGTCTGTCTAAAAGTTGAGGTTTTAGTTTGATTTCCTCCAGCTTTGAGTAAATACTCTGGACTTCTGGCTCTAGCCTTCTTTTCAGTTCTTGAGCTGTGAAAGAAGCTATAGCCACCTCCTTCTACAAAATTAGTATTTTTCATTATGCAAACATCACTCTATGAAATTATTAAAAAGAAGTTGCCTGCATCCACCAGGCCAGAAGTAAAATACAAGAATTCCCTAAGTGCTGAGGACAAGGGACCTGGAGCTGTGGGATACTTTGGTGTCCCTTTCTCAGTGCATAACCACTGTTCCTGGGAGCCACTCTTCTCATGCAGTCACTGGCAAGCTCAGGCTTCTACTCCAAGACAAAGTACTTTCCTGAGAGAGAGAAGAATCCAGTGTTGTTGTCACCACTCTGGATTACTTGAAGAAAGGGTTCTTTACTCACTTGGGTGAAACTCAGGCTTACTCCTTTGTAGAAAGTTTTAAGTACAATTCAGTCAGCAGAGATTCTGGAAAGAGTCAGATTGTTAGGAACATCTAGTAGGAGAAATCTTACTCCCAGTTCAGCATCTGGACACTACTTGAAATACTCTTAGCAATAATTTAACTGGAAGACACATTCACAACATTAAGAACCAAATCCAAGTGTAAAAGCTGTTTTTCCACTAGCCTATTAGAAAATATACAGTATGGGTTAACACAGCTTAAAAAAATCTGTAATCCAAATTAACTTACTTCAGCTAAAAATTACGTTCTTCTTGTCTGCATTTTCATGATAAATCTTAAGTACTAAGTACCCTTTTAAAATACACAATGTTTAAAAGTTTATTCTTCTCAATGAAAGAAGAGCTGAAAGAAACAGTCTCCCTTCTGTAAATTATTATATTACACAGGAAATTCAAATAGTTGGTTTTTTTTTAAATCTGAGAAACAAGTTGTTTCCCCAAAAGACAACTATTCAGTGCCAACATCTAATTCACAATAAATGCAGTAGGTAAAACTATCTTAAGGCAAAGCCCGAACTTTTCTATCACCTTGTTCCTCAAAATACTAAAAAGGAGAGAAATAGAAATTTCTCTCAAAATCAGAAAGGCGAAAATAAAAGTCCAGCTACAACTTGAAATCTAGCAAATCCTAAAAGACACAAGATGATCTTTTAGCAAAGCTTTGGTTGAAAAAAGAATTTTTACACTGGCTTAATAAGCATGACCACTGAGATTTCTCTGCCCAACTAGGGGGTCTCACAACCTTTTATCTCAAAAATACTGGCGAAATTGATGAAAAAAAAATAGCAGTTAAACCTCAAGGTGCTGTAAGATTGCAGTGAAAGATACTTGAGTTAGGATAGGTCAAAGATGTCTGCTACAAAATTGTCACTACAACACACAAAGCTTGTGAGTAGCTGTAGCTGGTGAGGCTAAAAAAAGGCCTGAAGGTTTTCTCCCCATCTTGCAAATTAACTACTAAGTAAATCTTTTTTTTGCTGCCATTTTAAAGGTCTCCTGTGACAAATGAAAAAGCAATAACATGCCACGTGTTGTATTTGGACA